CTGTCTGGGGACGGGGAAACACCTCTTATCAACAGGGTGCCTGAATGAAACGTAACTGTATACCTAACCCTTAACTGTACCCTACAACATCATAATAAAAAATATTAAAAAAAAAAGAAGAAACAGAAAGGTAAAGGCCAGGAGTGGTGGTTCAAACCTGTAATCCCAGCACTTTGGGAGGCTGAGGTGAGCTGAGTCCAGGGGTTCGAGACCAGCTTGGGCAACTTAGTGAGACCTCATCTCTACAATAAATAAAAAAATTAGCTGGGTGTGGCGGCATGTGCCTGTAGTTCCAGCTACTTGGAAGGCTGAAGCAGAAGGATTGCCTGAGCCCAGCAGGTCAAGGTTGCGGTGTCCATGAGCAGCGTGCCACCACACTCTAGCCTGTGTGACAGAGTGAGACTCTGACAAAAAAAAGATTAAAAAAAAAGTAATAAATATTTTGGGAGTATTTTACCCTTCTGAATCCTTTAAGATCTCTTTGTTTCTAGCACCCTGGTGTGGGTCTATTTTCAACCCTTGTTGCAGGTACTTAACACTTTCAATCTAGAAACTCATATCCTACATTTCTAGGAATGAAAAATATATCTTCTCTTTGATGATCCCTGCCTCTGCATTTTCTCTGTCTCTATTCTTTTTTTTTTTTTTTTTTTTGTTCATGAATATTTCTTTAAGATAGCACTCTGATTTTGTTTCCTGGGTCTGATCTCTTATTCTTCTGCAGATTTTACTGACATATTTTAGTTGTTTTCTTCCTGCTATGGTCTGAATGTGTTCCTCTAACATTCATATGTTGAAATCTTACTGCCCCCAAGCTGATAGTATTAGAGGGTGGGACCTTTGGGAGGTGATTATGGCATGAGTGTGGGGCCCTTATGAATAGTATTTGTGCCTTTGTGACCTCCAAACTCTTCCACGTGAGTGTGCAGTGAGAAGGTGCTGTCTATGGATTAGGAAATAGTTCCTCACTAAACACTGAATCTGGACTTCACAGCATCTAGAACTATGAGAAATAAATTTCTGTTTTTTACAGGCCACCAGTCTACGATATTTTGTTGTAGCAGCCCACACAGACTAAGACAAAACCCACACAGACTAAGACATTTCCTTTGTGGGTTCTGTTTTTTCGAAATTGACATTTCCTCTTCCTTTTGTCTTGTTTTGTTTTTCTTATTTTGACTAAAATAAAAAGGACTGGTTATTGTTGATTTTCTGCTCAGATTTAAAGTATGGGCAGCCTCGGAAACATGGTGAGACCTTGTCTATACAAAACATCAAACATTTAGCTCAGTGTGGTGGTGTAAGCCTGTGGTCCCACCTACTTGGGAGGCTGAAGCAGGAGGCTTACTTGAGCCCAGAAGGTTGAGGCTGCAGTGAGCTATGATCCATGCCACTGCACTCCAGCCTAGGCAACAGAATGAGACTCTGTCTCAAAAAAATAAATAATAACATGTGGAAGCTTAGAAGGTGACTGGGGGCTTGGAGTATGTAATTGGGGCTTATTGATTGTGAGCTTAATTATGGGGTGATCTGGTTGGGCCATCTTGTTGGGGAACTCTGATTTCATAATTTGCTATAGATACTGAATGTTTATGCCCCTCCCCCAATTCTTAGGTTGAAACCCAAGACAGTATCTCTAGATCATTTGTTCCCATGCCTCTGAGAAGACTCTTTCAATCTCCTGCCTAGAGGGTGAAGATCTTGGTGCTCAGTGGAGAAATTGGCCTGGGGTTGGGGGAGAGATTGTCTTATTATTCAGTATGTACATATTTGCTTAATCTTTAGCTTTACCTTCTGCAGAGGAGGAAAAGAACAGTCTTTTTCTTTGAAGGGGGGTGGCTAGTAGTCCTGTTACTCAGAGTGTGGGAGGAGACTTAACTCCTTCAACAGTTTCAACCAATTTATTTCATTACGGGACCGCTCTGTCTTTTCACTGCCACTTCCAGAGGTGTCTGAGGCCATTAAGTCACAAACTTTTGGTGATTCTGTGATGTCAATATATGACTTTGGTTATTCCCTGCTACTGGTTTGCCAAATCAGACTGCTTGTCTTTTTTTCTGCTTCTAAAATCTTGTTGCTGTCAAATCCTCTACACATCCTTACGAGTTTATTCTTAAAAATAAAGACAACTAGCCGGGGTTGGTGGCTCAGCCTGTAATCCCGCGCCTTTGGGAGGCTGAGGTGAGTGGATTGCCTGAGCCCGCGGGTTCGAGACCCGCCTGGGCAGCGAGACCTCATCTCTACAATAAATAAAAAAAAATCAGCTGGGTGTGGTAGCGCATGCCTGTAATTCCGGCTACTCGGAAGGCTGAGGCGGAAGGATCACCGGAGCCCAGCAGGTCGAGGCTGTGGTGGCCGGGAGCAGCCACTGCACTCCAGTCTGGGCGACAGAGTGAGACTCCAACTCAAAAAATAAATAAATAAAAATAAAAAAATAAAGACAACTTGTGCTTTCAACAAAGTTTCTGGAGGAAGCAAATGAAGATGCTTCAGCTTGATATCTCCCTCCAGAAATTCCTGCCATTTCTGTGCATTGCTACCACAATCACCATAATCAGAGCCACCTTCTTTGCTCACCTGGTATACTGTAGTAGCCTGCCAACTACTCTTCCTACCTCTAGGCTTTGACGCCAAAGTCAGAATGAACTTTCCACAGAGCAAATGTTATGATTTATCTACCCTCTTTTAAATCTTTCTTTGCTCTTAGTCTGTAAGACCTTCCACCAACTGGCCTCTTTTTGTTTTTCCTCCTTATCTCCCAAATTTCTCCCAGTTGCTTCCTGGGCTCCAGCGGTACAGTAAACTTTGTTTCTCTAGACACTTCAGTGTGGCACCTCAGGGTTTCCAACATACTGTTCCTTTATGTGAAATTGTTTCTTACTGCTTCTTCCCATCCCAACCTTCCCCAGCCTTTTCCAGTTAACTCATTGTCTTTCAGGTCTCAACTTTAATTTTTATTCTTTAGGGAAGGAAGTCTTTCATGTCACTCCAGACAGGTAGGTCCTTTGTTGATGGTCTGAAGGTTTGAAATATTTGCTCTCTCTCCCTATGTAAGGTTTATACCTCCCTTCCCTGATGCTCCATGTAACACACTTTGGGAGATTTTACACTGTAACATTAATCACATTTCTGTTTATTGTTGTTCATATTTTGTTTATTCCTGAGCAGGTATATTGTCATTATGCGTTTAGTTGTCTGTCTTCCTGACCAGACTTTAAGTGATAAGAGGAAAAGGTCCCATGTCTATCTTATATACTTCTCGTGTTTAGTACACTGCTCTGTCCTCCCATAATAATGATAAAGACTCTCTTCTTGACCAAACTCTAGCATGGCAGCTAGCAGCTTAAGGCCATGTATCTAGAGTGATCCCAGCCCCCCCTTTAAAATGCCTGCCTGAGTAAGCTCAACACTACCAAGAGAATTTAGTTTGTTCCAGCCAAAACCTGGTGATAGACCCCCGAAATCCTTCTTAGAGCAGTTACTTTAGAAAGCTTCCAATTGTAAATCCTTCCTCTGTCTCTTTGAGATGTAAGGGAAATTTCTGCCCACTGAGAACTGTCTTCTCAAGGATAGGAGAGATGTCTCATTGAGATGCAAACACTCAAAGAGATAGTTGTCGTTTACTCTGAGTCCCGTGGTTCCCTTGCTCTAACTTACACCAACCACTGTCTGTCATGAAGATGGGAGAATTATGTGTCTCCTCCAGATAAGCACCAGTTAACAAAACTAGACGGCCCAGAGGACTAACCTCTCTTTACATTCCTCGATGCCTTTCCTTAGCACATTACAGTCTTGAAAAAACCTCCAAACTTTTATTTAAGCAAACTTCAATTCATGCTGGGCCCTTTTCCCTATTGCAATAGTTACTATATAAAATCTATCTTACTGTTTAACAAGTGTCAGGCTTTATAAAAATCTTTTACAGTAAGCACATTAGATAGTTATACAATTAACTAGTAAACTTAGGCTCTATATATGTGTAAAAAGCAGGAAGTAAGTTTCATTATTTCGAGGCTTATTTTGGAGTCTCATCTCCCTCTCCCATCCCCCAAGACGCTCAAAGATTGCCCGTGTTATTTTTTTCTTTTATAATCTCTATGAAAGATGACAATTATGTCCAAGGTATCCACAGGGCATTCTGAGTTGAACTAGTCAGATTACTGAGGGGGAACTATAGAAAGCTATTTAAAAAGTCACGTCCCTACATTTCAATCCTCTGGTAAGCAACTTTTTTTCTCCCGATGGCTTAAAACGGAAAGAGTGTTACCATTTCTATTTCTGGGCCAAGGAGAAGAGTTCAGTTCAGTCCAGAAAGACTCGTGGGTGGCAGAGCGGGTGAGTTTGGCTGCGGACTGCCCACACAACCTCCTCCCTCACTCCCTCCTTCTGGCAGGGTCCATTTCCTGCTCCTGTGGGCTTCCGCCATTCCGCCAAAATCTTTGCGGGTAAAACTACCCTGTCTGTACTTTTAAGAAGTCCAGAACTCCTCTCACAAACACTGACTTTCGGCTCAATCGGTACACAGATCTAGAGCCAGCAGGGCCACACCCCCACCGGGTCTCCGCCCTCAGCCTCCGGCTGTGCCTGCGCAGCTGCGGAGGGTGTCACGTGCTAGGCTCGGGCGTGAAACCTGCGTGGCCATGTTGATTTTTGGCGGCGCTGACTAGGGGAAGGGAGACGGCCCTAGACTAGCTGCTTGGAGTTCCGGCTTCTAGGCGCAAGTGCGGAAGTGCGCTGGCCCCGAGAGTGACTGGTTTCCGGCCAGTGGTGCGGCGCCGGCTGTCCGGAGACGTGTAACGGACAGTGAGCTGCAGTCATGGCCGAAAGGAAGTCTAACGGCGGCACCTCCACCTCCTCGTCTAGCACTAACTTACTTTTCTCCTCCTCGGCCACGGAGTTCAGCTTCAACGTGCCCTTCATCCCAGTCACCCAAGCGGCCGCTTCCCCGGCCTCCCTGCTCTTGCCCGGAGGTAGTAAGGGGAGGGCGGTCCCGTGTGCGACGAGGCGGGCGGGGGTCAGAAGGTGACGAGGGTTAGGGGAGAGTCTTTCCTTCTGCCTCAATTAAATCTCTGGGTGACTTGGCAGGACATTCAGAGACTTAAGTGGGCCAGGGGCTTTGAGATTTGGGGGGGTTGGGGGGAGAGCCGATAATGAGGCTTGCTCTTCGTCACAGGAACCTCTTTTCCGAGTTGTCCAGAGTGCTGGACACTAGTGCACTAGCATTCCGCGAATCTTTGTTGAACACCTATTGGTGTCCGCTGGCAGTGAATGCGGATAAATTAGACAGTGGCCCTCCTAGAATACAGTAGACTGTGTCCTGCTAGGAGACTCCTAGGTTACAATATAGCTTATCTCCTAGATTACAGCAAGCTATTTCCTAAGATGAACGAACAGTGGTGGTCCTCTCCTAGGATACACTAGGCTGTCTCCTACTAGGATGCTGCTGGAATACAGTAGAATATCTCCTAGGATATCTCCTAGAATAGACAGTGTTCCTCTTCTAGGATAGATACAATATTTGTGAAGTAGAGGTATAGAATGCATTTCTCATTTTAAAAGACAGTCCATCACTTCTTCTAAGAAGCTTCTTTCTTGTTCTCTTAGGCCCCCATTCCTATGTGCACCCTAACTTTTTTCCTATTTGTATTATTGTCTAGGGAGATTGCTTTTTCATGACTACGTGATACAGCATGGTGTTTAGGTGCACTGACTGACTGTGCTTCAGTCCTGGCCCTGCAAGTAACTTACTGTGGGACCATAGGCATGTTACTTACCTCTCTGTGCTTCAGCTTCTTCTCTATATGTAGAGCCTTGTAGAATGCAATAAGGGCATTCATTTTTGTAAAGCACTAATTATAGTGCTTTACTGGCACATAGTGTGATATAGTGTTTGTGAAACAAATATGTCTACTTCTCTATTTGGACTGTGGGCTTCTTGAAGTTTGTAGCTGCAACTTAATTATCTATTTATTTCCAGGATCTTGTTTGGTGCCTAGTACATAGATCCTCATTAGATGCTGAATTTTTTTTTCCGGGGAGTAACTTATTGTTGCTTGGAGGACTAAGGAAAGCTCATGGACAGGTGAAGAGAGGCATATTCGAAGCAGCTGTACAGGAATGTTCTTCTTCCCTTGTTATGTTTCTTCTTGGTGCTTTATTACTGCCTGACGTGTACACATATTTGCTTATTCTGCCCCACAAGCATTAGGCTCATGAAAGCAAGAACCTAGTTTTATTCACTGTTATATCCCCACTGCCTAGTACTGTGCCTGATATGAAGTAGACCAATTATTCAGTAGATACGTGTTGAATGAATGAAAGAACAGGTATCTGGAACACATATGTCTCATTTTGACAATGCAGTTTAGGCATTGCTGTCTTTGGTTAAGAACCAGCGTGGCTGGAACAGAACACTGTGGAAGGATGCAGGAATAAATAAGGTCATACTGGGGCTTTCATATCATTCCCTGCTTCATTAATGTTGTTTGGTTCATGTTCATTTTCCTTGTTATATAGTATTTGGTTTGTGTGTGTCACTATCAATTAATGCTAAACATTTTCATTGATAAGTACAGGATTACTATACCTTCTTTAGAACTTTTGTTTCTTGGACAGAGAGCTTACCTTTTTGTGAGAATAGTAATAGTTTTTAGAGCTAAAATTGTTTAGCAAGTATTTTTTCACCTCTCTAAAATATTTAGTAGTTTGAGACCCATTCAGAGAATTTCTAGAGACAAAAGAACCCATCTTCTGGAAGCAACAGTCAATCATATCAGTGAAAGAGACACATAGGAAGCAATTTCATACATTCAGCAAAAATGGATTGAGCAGCTTCTGTTTGTGAGGCCTGTTCCAGATGTTAGGAAGACACAGAAGAGCAGATAGCTCTGCCCTCAATGACCGTACGTTGTTTATATGTATATGAGTACCCATCTGTGTAAACAATCAGGATACAGGTTTAGAACAGTTAGAAAGAGGGATTGGCTGCTGTGAACTCTTTGGGTCTCAGCTGGCTGAGTGCGAAGCGGATGTTCCTTAGGCCTTCTGGGCCTCATAGAGGACTTACTCATTGAGATGAGAGTTGAAGGGTACATGGAAATGAGGGAGTCTGGAGAGATAGGCATATGTATAAGGTCTGGAGGTGTGAGAAAATTAGCAGATTTGGCACGAGTTGGTGGTGGGTGGAATGGGACAAGGATGAACCTCTCCCTTCTCCCTGGTCCCTTCTTTTCCTTTTCTCCTCGCTCCTCACTCCCCGCCCCAGTAGATCTCTGTGACTAGAGTCTGCCCAGGGGAGTGGCTCCTGTGGTCTGTGGACCTCATACACCATACTCAAGAGTTTGTAGTTTGTCCTGTGGGGTATGAGGGAGCCTCTGAAGGATTTTAAACAAGGCAGCAAAATTAGAGGTGTGTTTCATAAAGACTGGAGTTTCCTCTTGTTGCACTGGGTAAAGACTGACTGCAGCAAGAGTGGTTATCCTGGAGGCCATGGTAAGAGGCAGGCAGGAGCAGAGGGCAGTCTAGTCCAGGTCAGCCACATTGAGTATGAAGAGCAGGAGCAAATGCAACAGATTTTTAGACTGTACAGTTGTATGGACTTAGAGACTCCACAGAAGGCCAGACCATCAGCTCTGCAGCACAGAGGTCCATTCTTGTGCAGTTTTAGCTCCAAGACTGAGCTCTGTGCCTGGCACATAGTGGATCCTGTATAAGTATATCCTGAATTAATATTTGAATGATTAAGAGTATCAGAGGGAGAAAAGAGTCTGAGAGACTTGAGATTTCTGGTTTGAATGTCTGGTTGCGTGCTGGCAAACATCTATTGAGATAGTAAGATATATACAAAGGAGCACGGGGTACTTAAGATAATAAATTCAGTTTTAGGCTTATTGAGTTTGAGGTATATATATGGTTGAGTTTGCCAAAAGTATTGAGGAAGTAACTGGAAAATAGATTCCAGAACAGTTGAGAACAGTCTGGGTTTGAGACAGAGTTGGGAGTGTCACAAGTATACAAGTACCCATTAAAGTTATGGCTCTAGATGTTGTATGTATCCATAGGAAATTATAAAGTGGTCTTGAGGTGAGGGTGGCAGTATGTGGACATCAGCATTTCATTTATAATTGATGCTAATCAGAAAAAAGTTTCTTGGACCAGGTCGATTTCAAGTTTTCTTTTTTTCTTTCTTTTTGAGTCAGAATCTAATTCTGTCACCCAGGCTGGAGTGCAGTGGCTTGCTCATGGCCACTGCAGCCTCTACCTACTGGGCTCAGGTGATCCTTCTGCCTCTGCCTTCCAAGTAGCTGGAATTACAGGCGCACACCACCACGCCCATCTAATTTTTTGATTTATTGTAGAGAGGAGGTCTTGCCAAATCGCCCAGGCTGGTCTCGAACCAGTGGGCTGAGGCAATCCTTTTGCCTCAGCCTCCCAAAGTGCTGGGATTATAGACTTGAGCCACTGCGCCTAGCCTTCAGATTTTCTTAAAAGATGAAAGATACCATTGAGGTTTGTTTTTGTTTTTTTTTTTCTCCTTTTCATGCTTTTAATCATTGAGAATTGAACTAAGAAATAAAGATCTGTCCAGGTGAGGATCAGGGACCTGAAAAGAGGGGTGGGAACTGGAGATATAGCAGAGAACTGGAATGATCCAAGCAGACAAAGGGCCTTGTGTAGGAAGTGATATTTCATTTTTAGTTACAAAGACACAAGTGAGAGGAGTATTTTGAACTGTGGAGCATCTTAAATTGATGGGTGTGAATTGTAGTGGGAGCAACCTAGAAGCTCAAGCCAGAATCTCTGTGAGCCCCATGGCTTCCTTCAGCAGAGATCAAGAAGGAGCCCAGAGTTTGGAACTCTTTGGCAGGTCTCCAAGGCCAGGACCAAAGTGTGCCTGTGTACTAAGAGTGGCTCCACCCCTCTCCTTGCAAGAAGATAAGAGGGAATGAGACAGGAACAGGAAAGATGAGGAGCAGGAAGATGAAGAAAAGCTTACACGTTAAGGACTCATAAAAGTTTAGTAAACAGGAATGAGATGGACTTTTGAGGTGATGTAGAGGAAAAGTACTTTTCTTTTTTATGTTTATTTATTTATTTATTTTTTTGAGTTGTTCTCACTCTGTCACTCAGGCTGGAGTGCAGTGGCATAATCACAGCTCAAGGCAGCCTCAAACTCCTGGGCTTAAGCGATCCTCCAGCCTCCTGAGTATCTGGGGCTACACGTGTGTGCCACTGTGCCTGGCTAATATTTTTATTTTTATTTTTTATATACATGAATTCTCATTATGTTGCCTAGGCTGGTCTCGAACTCCTGGGCTTAAGCAATCCTTCTGTCTCGGCCTCTCAAAGTAGTGGGATTACAGACATGACCATTGCATCTGGACTGAAAGTGCTTTTATTTTACAGCTTGGTAGTAGAAGAGAAAATTTAAAAAAAAATTTTTATTTTAAAGATGTGGGGTTCAGTTCAGGGTTAGGTATACAAATGTTCATTATGCAGGTAACCTTGTTGATGAGGTGTGCCCTCCCTCCCCTGGCAGATTCCCACCACTGCCAATCCCTTTCTTATAGTATTATGATAGTTGTTCAAGGTCCGCTTATGAGTGAGAACATGTGGTACTGAGTTCTTTGTTTCTGTGATAGATCACTCAGTATTATAGCCTCTAAGTCCATCTAAGTTGCTGTGACAGAAGAGAAATTATTTGGAGTTATTAACATACATAGTGAAGATCAAGTTTGACAAAGAGAAGTGAAGAGAACTTCCCTTGGTTAGAAAGTTACTTTTCTAGCATTTTGATGTTCTGTAATGATATGAGACCATGATACTGCGTGATGTTAGGGATAGCAATTCATGGTTGACCTACTTTGCCTTGGAACTACAAATACCACGTGTTCATTTGTACAATAAGTGCTTTGTAGGTAAGAGCACTGACACACCCCTTCTTGTCAACAGAGTTAATAGCTGCACTTTAGTTTTTTGTCATCACTGTAGAAATAAAATGATATGTATTTGGGTAGTGGAATAACATTTGAATTATTTCTTACCAAAAAAATTACAAATAATATATACAGATAGTATAGATTTTTTCCAAATATAAGTGTATGTTTATGAAATAAATAATAAATAAGTCTTATACTAATTTAAAGAGTATGGAAGGGTAAATACCAAAGTGTTAAGAATGTGAACAGTGATAGTCTCTGGGAGGTGGGCTTATGAATGAATTATAATTTTTCCCTCCTTTGTTTTTTCTTACTCGTATTTTCTAGTTTTTCATTTCAAAGAAACTAAGTTTTCAAAGAAAAAAAGAAAAAAGTTTTTTTTTTCTGTACTATAGAAAAAAATGTTTGAGTAGCAAATTAAGAGTTCCAATTTCTACCTCTTTCTTATAGAATAATATCTACAGAATGATAGAATGCCCTTTAAAACATTTGCCCTCTGGTTCTGTTTCAGAGGATTCCACCGATGTTGGTGAGGAGGACAGCTTCCTTGGTCAGACTTCTATTCACACTTCTACCCCACAGACATTTAGTTACTTCTCTCAGGTATCAAACAGTAGTGATCCTTTTGGGAATATTGGACAGTCACCATTAACAACTGCAGCAACGTCGGTTGGACAGTCAGCATTCTCCAAGCCCACAACTGCTCTCCCTTTTACAACTGGATCCCAAGATGTGTCGAATCCATTTTCATCATCCATTTCAATGGCTCAGCACGGTGCTCCACCTTCCTCAATGATGGGAATAAATACTTACCTACCTTCTCAGCCTAGTAGTCTCCCTCCTTTAAATTTTGGGAGTCCACCTCAAGCAGCCCCTCAACCAGGGTATAATCCGTATCGCCATACCCCTGGCAGCAGCAGAGCTAATCCTTACATTGCACCACCCCAGCTGCAGCAGTGCCAGATACCAGGACCTCCTGCTCACCCTCTACCTCCTGGACCCCCTGTTAAAATGTACCAGATTCCTCCAGGATCTTTGCCTCCGGTATGGTTTTTATGTCCTACTTATTCACTCTAATTTTTTTTCTCTCGTTCTCACTTTAGCCTGTGTTTTAAAAGCATTGCATGGGGCAACCCCTTTGGGTCCCCTCCCACTGAGGGAGCTTCTCTGTTCTCTCAATAAATAAATAAAAAACAAAAATAAAAAAACATTGCACATTTTATAATTGATATGACGACAAGTTATTTTCAGAGGGTATCCTTTGTAAGCTACATGAGTAAACATTCTTTTAAAGGTAGCTCAATGGATGACTCATATTTTACAATATATTACTGATTTTTTGAAGTGGTAATTGATTTTAATGAGTTAGCTACATACCAGTACTTTCAGATTTTAGTGTATGAAACCAGTAATAAGTATCATCTAGAGACATGAGAATTGACACAATTATTGTCTTAACAGAGTGCCAGTTTATCATCTTTTAATTACACTGATCATCCAAAACACTCCGGGGACTAAAATGGATTACTCTGGTAATTTTTTTATTTTTATGGAGTTTGAATCTATATAGTCAAATTCTATCTTAAGGGGAGATAATGGAATAACATTTGCACGATGTAAATTTTATGAAATACCCTTATGTTTTTCCCCAACTAATTGTTCAATTGTCTTCCAAAGAGAAATCAACTGAATAAAAAAAGCTGGGGGAACTGGGCAGGGCACGGTGGCTCACATCTATAATCCCAGCCCTTTGGGAGGCTGAAGCAAGAGGACTGCTTGAGCCCAAGAGTTTGAGACCAGCCTGGGCAACAGAGTGAGACCTCTTGTCAGCAAAAAATAAAAAAGCCAGACTTGGTGGCATGTGCTTCTAGTCCCAGCTACTTAGGAGGCTGAGGTGCAAGGATCACCTGAGCCCAGGAGATTGAGTCTGCAGTGAGCCGTGATTGTGCCCCCTGCACTCCATCCAGGGCAACAGAGCGAGATGTCTCAAAATTAAACAAATTTTTTTTTAAATAGGGAAATGAGCTGGGTGTGGTGGCATGTGTCTGTAGTTCCAGCTGCTTGGAAAACTGAGGTGGAAGGATTGCCTAAGCCCAGTAGGTCGAGGCTGCAGTAGCCGTGGGCGTGCTACTACACTCCAGTTTTGGTGACAAGAGTGAGACTCTAACTCAGAAATAAATAAAAATAGGGAATCTCTCATTGTGTCAGAGATAGCAATGTTGTGATCAGAGTGTAACCTAACTTCCCTCTTGGAGATAGAGAATGGACTCTGTTTTGTCATTTAATTTAAACCATACCTATATACAAACTTTTGACAATGTTAGATTTCAGCATATTAGAAAGTAACCAGAGTGACCTGCCTGGGCAGCGAGACCTCATCTCTGCAATAAATAAAAAAATCAGCCGGACGTAGTAGCGTGCGCCTGTAATTCCGGCTACTTGGAAGGCTGGGGGGTAAGGATCGCCGGAGCCCAGCAGGACGAGGCTGCGGTGGCCGGGAGTGGCCATTGCACTCCAGTCTGGGCGACAGTGTGAGACTCCAACTCAAAAAAAAAAAAAAAGAAAGTAACCAGATTCATAATATGTATAATAGGTTAGTATTTTTGCTAACTGTAGAAAACTAATTCTAGTTTGCTGATCAAAATTTTTTTTTGAATCAGCGTCTTACTTTGTCGCCCAGGCTGGAGTGCAGTGGCATGCTCATGGCCACCGCAGCCTCGAGCTGCTGGGCTCAGGCAATCCTTCTGCCTCAACCTTCCAAGTAGCTGGAACTACAGGTGTTTACCACCACACCCGACTATTTTTTTTTTTTAATTTTAAATTACAAATTTTAAGAAATGAATCGGGCACAGTGGTTTACATCTGTAATCCCAGAACTTTGGGAGACTGAGGCAGGAGGATATCTTGAGACCAGGAGTTTGAGATAAGCCTGGGCAATATAGAGAGACCCTGTCTCTACAAAAAATTTAAAAATACTGGACATGGTAGTGTGTCTGCAGTACTAGTGACTTGGGAGGTTGAGGTGGGAAGATCCCTTGAGCTTAGAAGTTTGAAGTTATAGTGAGTTAAGATTGTCCCACTGCACTCCAGTTTGGATAACAGCAGGACCCTATCTCCAAACAAACAAACAAAAAAACAAAAATAAAAATTTCAAATTTAAAGAAAAGTTGCAAAAATAAAAATAGCTCAAAGAACACTCCTGTATCTTTTACCCAGGTTTACCTGTCATTAACATTTTTTCCCATTTGTTTTTTAATTTGTGCATGTGCACATGCTCGTATGTTTGAGCCCTCCTCTCTCCCTTCCTTTCCTCTTCTCCCCTCCCCCTCTCCTCCATCCCACTCTCTTCCTCTTCTACTGTCTCCTCTTCTTTCCTTCTTGTCTCTATGTATGCAGTTTTGGGGAAATATTTGAAGATCAGTTAAATACTTTGTGTGATTCTTTACTCTTGAATACTTTAGTGTGTATTTCCTAAGGAAAAAAATATTGTTTTACAGAGCCACAATATATCTGTCAACTTCAGTAAATCCCATGTTGATATAACACTTTAAAGTGACTTAACTAAAATATTTTAAAATAATTGTATTCTAATTTAATTTTTTTGAGTCAGGGTCTAACTCACTCACTGCATCCTTGACCTCCTGGGCTCTGGGATCCTTATGCTCCAGCCTCCCCAGTAGCTGGGACTATAGGTATACACCACCACACTTGGCTAATTTTTTTGATTTTTTTTTTTTTGTATAGATAGAATCTTGCTATGCTGCCTAGGCTGGTCTCAAACTTCTAGGCCCAAGCAATTCTTCTGCCTTGGCCTTCCAAAGTACTGGGTTTACAGGCATGAAATGCTGTGCTGGCGTGATATTAAAAGAATTTTTACTGTAGAAAACTTGAGAAGTGCAGAGTTACCAAATTAATAAAAATTTTCTGTAGATAACTACTATTTTCAATTTGTTGTATGTCTTCATTATCTTTTTTCTAGGCAAGCATCATATAGTACATGTGGTTTTTATAATCTGTCTTGTGAACATATTTTAGATGTTGATTTTTTTCTAAAACATTTTAATGGTTTTAGAGAATCTAGCACTTGAATGAAATATAATTTATTTAGTCAGGATTCTTTTAGGTATTAAGATTATTTCTAGTGGTTTTCTATTATAAATAACCCTTTGGGCCAAGTGCAGTGGTTCATGCCTGTAGTCCCAGTACTTTGGGAGACTGAGATGGGAGGATTGCTTCAGCCCAGGAGTTCAAGACAAGCCTGGGCAACATAGAGAGACTTTGTCTCTACAAAAAAGATAAAAATTAGCTGGACATGGTAGTGCATGCCCGTAGTCCCAGCTACTTGTGAGGCTGAAGTGGAAGGATCACCTGAGCCCAGGAGATCAAGGCTGTGGTGAGCCTGGTCGTGCCACTGTACTCTGTCTACCCTGGGTGACAGAGTGAGACTACAACTTCAAAAAATAAAAATAAAATAAATAACTTTTTGGTGTACATCTTTGTGGTTTTTACTTGCTTTTGTAATTACATCTTTAGGATAAATTCTTAGAGATAGGATGGTGAGTCAAGGAATATGCACATTTTGAAGATTACATAAATCATGGGAGATTTATTGCTAGACTGATTTTTGTAAAGGTGTTAGTTTACTTTCCCATTGGTGTGAGAAAGTTTAGTTTACTTTGCAGCTGATTTTGGGTTTTATTAGATTAAGACATTTTTTAACTGCTTTGGGGCCTAGTTATTACACTAAATAATTGTCCAGAAATGTGTGTAGGATGATTATCACTAATCAGTTTGGGTCTGAAGCATATACAAAGTTGTTCTTCTAGACAAGTATGATAGTCTTAACTTTGCTGTCTCTTTCAGAATCCTCCTTCAATGCAGCCACCAACACATCAGCAGGTACTTGCTAGACCTGGGGTTCCACCTGTGCAGGTGCCACCTCCTTTTTTACTTCAAAACCAATATGAACCTGTTCAGCCCCACTGGTTTTACTGCAAAGAGGTAGAATATAAACAACTATGGATGCCTTTCAGTGTGTTTGATTCTTTGAATCTTGAAGAAATCTATAATTCAGGTAAGTACTGGTCATACATCATTCATACCTGATTTTAGGATGAGAAGAAATTGAGTATTTGTCCATGGTCTCCTTTTTTGTGAATGTCAAATTTCTTAATCCTTTTAGACCCCACCAGACTCTGTACCTTAGGGTGGTAATAGTAATATAGGTCCTGAGTTACTGAGCAAGGTATTAGAAGAAATGTTTTAATAATTTCCTTCTTTGTTTATAGATGTTTTAAATTAGAGAAGTTGAGTAGTTTATATAATCCAGGTTTCAATTTTTCTATTTCCCTTATTCATCTGTAGTTATGGGGACATTTTCTGGAGATACTCTGTAGTTATAAAGCATTTACTGGAGATGCTCTGAAAAAAGGGTTCTATGGTCCAATGAGTTTTGGAAATGATGCTTACTACCTCTGCCTCTTGGGAAAGATGGTGCACAGGACTGTTATAAGGCTCTGAGAGGTTCAGCAGTGTAGAAATGTTTCTTTGTTTATCTCGATGTTATATGATCTTGGGACTTAAAGAACACCTATTAATGTCCTTTAGAAACATGCTCCATGGAGTAGTGCTGCACATAGACATTATTGCTTTGATTTAGAAAAATGTACCTGTTATTTGCATTATTTTATGTTCATGTTTTTACAGTTGCCTTGGCTATTTCTTATGACTTAAGAAGAGTCATAATTTTGAGTATCAGCGATTAATCCTAAAGTTCTATTTTTAAGTAAAAATGAGCTTAGTTATTTGTCTGTAAGAATTGACTGATCACCATATTTATTATTCATTATTTTAAAATATGTCTTGTTACAGTTGGGTAAAGTGTTGATTTTGTTCTCTAGTCCAGCCAGACCCTGAAAGTGTGGTTCTAGGCACAGACGGGGGGCGCTATGATGTTTATCTTTATGACCGAATGAGGAAAGCCGTGTATTGGGAGGAGGAGCCAGCTGAAGTGAGACGCTGTACTTGGTTTTACAAGGGGGACACAGATAGCAGATTTATTCCCTATACAGAGGAGTTCAGTGAAAAACTAGAGGTATGAGTGCTTTATTTCTTTATGCTTTTCTTTAAAAACTGTAGGCCCTGTAAACATTGGAGCCTCATGTAACACCACTCACAGCAGAACTGACTTTATTTACAAGATGTCTTGATGTTGTTTGCAAAAAAGATTGCTTTTTAAGTGGTGCCATCATTCATGAGGTACTAATCATGTCATTCGTATCTAAAGATAGAATATGTTTTTCAGAGGCACATCACATATCTAATAAGGTGCTTGTATTAAACCTTCGGTAAAACTTAGGCTGCTGGGATTTGTTGTTGACATGCTGAGCAGCATATGGACATTTTCAAATTGATAGTAAAAGGCAAGCCTTTAATTCATGAAACTAACCTCTAATTTGTGAAAATAAACAGAATTGGAAGAAGTGTCATGAAACTTATTAACTGGCTTCAAGAAATTATAGATTTCTTCAAGAAATTAGGTGGTTAATGTTGTTTTATATAATTGTGTTAATTTGTTGTGATAATTTTACTCAAGAGTTGAGTGTTAGGTATTTGAAATACATTAAATGAATTGTTACATATATGGGAAATGAGATTTAGAACACCTCAGTTAACTTTTCAAATGCTAGTGTTGTTTAATCAACACTAACATTAATATAAAAAGGGTCTCTAAAATGTAATTCATCCCTAGATTCTTTTTCTTTTCTTTTTTTGTTTTTAGTCAGGATCTTACTCAGTCACCCAGGCTGGATTGTTGTGGCATGATCACAGGTCATAGCAGCCTCAACCTCATGGGCTTAAGTGATCCTTTAGCACAAGTAGCTGGGACTGACTACACATGCACACCATCATGCCTAGCTATTTTAAAACATCTTTTTATAGAGATGAGGTCTTGCTATGTTGCCTAGCTTGGTCTTGAACTACTGGGCTTAAGCAATCCTTATGCCTTGGTCTCCCAAAGTGCTGGCATTACAGGCATGAGCCTCCATGCCCGACCCTAGATTCATGTTGTGAATAACTTCAATAAGAACTATATGTTTTGTTCTTAGGAACTGACAATTCAAGTGTAACTATTATTAAATTTTTTTTCTTGAGGAACATATCATTAATAGAAGTAAAAATTTAATCATGATCTTTTCTTTCAAATCAAACTCTACACTAATTATAAGAGAAGACATCAAATTAATTTTGTCTTTGGAAATACCAAATATCAGGAGGCACAAATCTCTTTTTAAAAATTTTTTAATTTTAAAGATGTGGGGTACAATTCAGGATTAGGTATACAAGTGGTCATCGTATAAGTAAAGTTTGGGCCTCCCTTTGGTCCCCACTTTGCCTGACCAACCTCTTAAAAGATAATTTTAGTTATTTGAATAAGGACTAAAATGTGTAAAAGAATGTGATATCTATAGCTTAATTTTAAACCTAAATAAATAATAAACAAAGATATACTATGATTTGGGGTACCTTTGGCCTCAAAGCCATAATGTCCCAAGGTTAAATGGTTAGTCTTATTATTTTGAAACTGAAATATACATTTTCAAGTCTAAGCAGTATCCGAAAATATACCCTTTACCTTAACTGTATTTGATTATATATGGGTGACATAGACTTTGAGGGTAGAAGAGCTATCTATGTACTGACCTTCTGAACAGCACATGACTGTCTTAACCTAGGGACACCTTAGCTTTTTTTCAGACTCTTCCAGGAAACACACCAGATCAGAGAGGAGACAGAGGAGGTTAGGAAGTGAGAAAGCCAATGACAGAGAACCAGATGGTACATATTGCTTAGCATTGTATAGGTGGGCCTGTCCTGTCAGAGCACTAAGACAAAACAACAGAAGTATTGGAAACAAAACACTTTTAATATGATGAAGGTGTGATTGTGTATATGGACAATCAATAAACCCCTAGAACTAACATAAGCACTACTACAAGAGTTTAGCAAGTCTGTGGATTTAAAATCAACATATATGAGTTAGTCATATTCCCATATAATAGAAATAATTGATTAGAAACTATAGTAGAAAAAGGAGATAGAGATACTATTTATAGCACTGACAAAACTGTAGGCTATATAGGCAAAAAGCGTAAGAAAAGGTACATATGGAGAAAACCACAAAACAAAATTGAAGAACATAAAAGATGACTTCAAGAAATGGAACTAAATATTATGTTCATGCATATAGAACCTCAATGTCATAAAGATGTCAGTTATCCCAAATTATTTGATAAATTTTAGGTAATCCCAATCAAAATCTCATCAACATTTTTTTTTAGGTAAAATTTGCAAACTGCTCCAAAATTGTATATGGAAGATAAAAATGTGAAGGATAACCAAGACCATTTTGACAGATGACATATGAAATCCTTACCAAATCAGACTTATTATAAGGATAAAGATTGGCAGGGCTTGGTGGCTCAGCCTGTAATCCCAGCACTTTGGGAGGCCGAGGCAAGAGGATTGCCTGAGCCCGCGGGTTCGAGACCTGCCCGGAGACCTTGGCGAGACCCCGTCTCTAAAATAATAAAAAATTAGCTGGGCGTGGTAGTGCGTGCCTGTAGTTCCAGCTGCTTGGAAGGCTGAGGAGGGAGGATCTCCGGAGCCCAGCAGGTCGAGGCTGCGGTGGCCGGGAGTGTGCCACTGCCCTCCAGCCTGGGTGACAGAGTGAACTCCAACTCAAAAAAAAAAAAAAAAAGAAGGATAAAGATTGAAAAGGAATATTAAAAAGTGAAAATTCTGAAGATGGTGAAGCTTTATCTTTAACTATTTTTGTTTGTGGCCTAACTTTAGAAATGATAAACAAATATGTTTAAATTTTTTATTTTTTATTTTTATTTTTTGAGTTGGAGTCTCACTCTGTCACCCAGACTGGAGTGCAGTGGCCGTTCCCGACCACCGCAGCCTCGACCTGCTGGGCTCTGGAGATCCTTCTGCCTCAGCCTTCCGAGTAGCCGGAATTACAGGCGCGCGCTACCACGCCCAGCTGATTTTTTAATTTATTGTAGAGATGAGGTCTCGCCAAATTGCCCAGGCGGGTCTCGAACCCGCAGGCTCAGGCAATCCACTTACCTCAGCCTCCCAAGGTGCGGGATTACAGGCTGAGCCACCGAGCCCGGCTAAATTTTTTATTTTTTAAAGTAAAGAAGAGGCTCAAAAGTAAAGAAGGGCTGATGAAGATTTTGTTTTTGAGTCAGGGCCTCATTCTGTTGCCCAGGCTGGAGTGCAGTGGCACGCTCATAGCTCATTGTAACCTCAATCTCCTAGGCTTAGGTGATCCTTCCATCTCAACCTCCTGAGTAGCTGGGACTATAGACATGTGCCACCATGCCCTTCTAATTTTTTTTTTTTTTTTAAAGTCAAAGTCTCTATGTCCCAGCCTAGAGTGCAGTGGCACAATCATAGCCTCAAACTCCTAGTCTCAGGTGGTCCTTCTGTCTCAGGCTCCCAAGTGGCATGTGCTACCATACCCAGCTAAGTTTTTTCTAGATTTTTTTGTACAGACAAGGCCTTTCTTTGTTGCCCAGGCTGGTCTCAAACTCCTGACCTCAAAAGAGCCTCTCATCTTGGCCTCCCAAAGTGTTGGGATTACAGGTGGGAGCCACTGCACCAGCGTTTTTTTTTTTTGTAGAGACCAAGTCTTGCTATGTTGCCTAGGCTGGTCTGGAACTCTTGAGCTCAAGTAGTCCTCCCACCTCAGCCTCCTACAGTGCTGGGATTACAGGTGTGAGCCATCACATCCAGCCCAAGACTTCTATTTCAACATGATTGTCAAATAATTGCTGTATTATTGATTAAAAAAAGACTTTTTAACAGTGTTTACTTGTCAATTAAAAAATAAATGAGGAAAAAAATGCTTTGCACAATGGGTGTGCCAGTGGCTCCCTCTTACCTTGTGCTGAATTTCTCCCCAAAAGGCCATTTACTTTGTAGACATTTACTTTGTAGAAACCAGAAGAGTACAGTCAGCCCTCTGTATTCACAGGTTCTGCATCTACAGACTCAAGTGAACATTCTGAAAAAAATAACAATACAACAATAAATAGTACAAATAAAAATATTGCATAACAAATATTCACATAGTACTTATATTAGGTATTATGAGTAAGCTAGAGATAATTTAATGTATACAGGGAATGTATTAGGTTTTATGCAAAAACCGTGCTATTTTATATAAGGGACTTGAATGTCTGGGTATTTTTGTATTTGTGAAGAGTCCTGGAACCAATCCCCTGTGGATACCAATGAAAGACTATCTGGAGAAAGAGTAAGAAGATATTGAACAATTAAGATTTTGGAGTCAAAAAATGCTAGTTGGGAGTGAACCACGGCTATGCCATTGCTACTCCTCAGTAGTGTAATTTGTGCAACTGTGTACAGTACTTGAAAAATCTATTATGGATTGTATTGTCCCCCTCAATCCCCCAAATATGTCGAAGTACTAATCCCCAGTACCTCAGAATGCAACTTTGGAAATAGGGTCATTGCAGGTGTAATTAGTTAAAATGAAGTCATACTAGAAAGGGGGGGGCAAAGCCATTATGATTGGTGTCCTTATAAGAAGATAGCCGTATGAGGACAAACACACAGAGACAATATCATGTGACAATTGAAGGCAGCAGTTGGAGTTATGCTGCAAGCCAAGGAATGCCAGAGGTTACTGGCAACCACCAGAAGCTAGGAAAAGGCATGGGGGATCTCCTTACAGATTTGAGAGGAGCCATGGCCCTGCTTACACCCTGATTTTGGACTTAGAGCTCCAGAAGTATGGGGCAATGCATTTCTGTTTTAAGCCAGTCAGTTTGTAGTACATGTTATGGCAGCCCCAGTAGACTGTCTTAACCTTGATTTTCTATTCTGTATAATGGGGCTTATATTATTTAGGAGTGATTGAGAGTAATTACTTAAATGAGGTAATATTTGTAAGGTGATTTTTTTAAAAGTATGGTAACCAATCAGTAAGTGAGAGCTACTATAGTATTATTTTTATCACCATTATACAGTGGTTATTGTTTTCCTTCACGGTTTCTCTCAATATGATATAGATTTATCATGGTGGATTATATGTTGTTTCAATTATTGTAGGTTGAATATAAAAAAGCTGTAACTACGAATCAGTGGCACCGCAGATTAGAGTTTCCAAGTGGAGAGACTATTGTTATGCACAACCCAAAGGTAATGATGCTACTTAAGATATTAAAGTGTTAGGTTCATTTTAATAATGATTTTGCTGTGTGTGTTTGATAAACACACACATTTTTAGTAACTTCTACAGTGGGGACAAATGCACTGCTTTTAAAATAGTTTACTGTAGTTCACATTGCTCATGGAAACGAAAACAGTTTAAATTTAAATTTTTCTGATGTTTCTGTTTATTGTAACATGTTAACCAAAGTTTAATGTACACTATAGAAGCTGCTTGATAAATTTTTTCACTTGATCAGAGGTTAGCCAGCTTTTTCTTTTTTTTTTGAGTTGGAGTCTCACTCTGTCGCCCAGACTGGAGTGCAGTGGCCGCTCCCAGCCACCGCAGCCTCGACCTGCTGGGCTCCGGCGATCCTTCCGCCTCAGCCTTCCAAGTAGCTGGAACTACAGGTGCGCACAACCACGCCCGGCTAATTTTTGATTTATTGTAGAGATGAGGTCTCGCCAAGTTGCCCGGACGGGTCTTGAACCCGCGGATTCAGGCAATCCACTCACCTTGGCCTCCCAAAGCGCTGGGATTACAGGCTGAGCCACCTAGCCCGGCTAGCTTTTTCTATAATGGGCCAGAGAGTAAATATTTAAGGCTTTGCAGGCCGTGTGAACTCTGTTGCAGCTACCAACTTGGCAGCTAGTTGAAAGCAGCCAGAGGCAATATATAAACCAGTGAGTTTGATATTTATAATAAAACTTTATCTATAAAAAGAAATGATGGGGCATAGTTTACCTGGCCTTGATGATGGCTGCTTTAACCTTTCAGGCAAAAGTGTGTCCTTTTTATTTATATTGTCTCTATGAACTTTTATTGTTTTTTTTTTAAATACTGTTGTGTGAGGTGGCTTATGCCTGTAATCTTAACTCCCTGGGAGTCTGAGGTGGGAGGGTCACTTGAGGACAGGAGTTTGAGGCTGCAGTAAGTTATTATTGCACCATTGCACTCCAACCTAGGCAACAGAGAGAGACCGTTAATTAATGGTGTTCTAATTATTTTATTTACCATCCTTAATTGCTCTGAGTTCCGGATTTCTCACCTACAATATTTACCTCTGAGGGTCATGCACAGTCATGTTTTAGATGAAATGAGGTAATTTTTGCAAAAGTAGCTAGCATAGGGCTTGGCACACAGTACTTTATTTTATTTTATTTGCAATGGGGTCTCACTATATTACCCAGGCTGGTTTCAAACTCCTGCCATGAGCCACCACAACTGGCCAGCACACAGTACTTTGTAAGTGCGTTTTTTATTTATTTTCTGAATAGATTTTTTATTTTTACATAAAAATATAAAAGATAACAAAAATAACTCATAATCTTATCACTTCTATGGTTCTTTTTTTTTTTTCTTTTGAGTTGGAGTCTCACTCTTGTTGCCCAAACTGGAGTGCAGTGGCATGCTCACGTCCACCAAAGCCTCAACCTGCTGGGCTCAGGTGATCCTTCCACCTCAGCCTTCCAAGTAGCTGGAACTACACACGCATGCCACCATGCCTGGCTAGTTTTTATGATATATTGTAGAGACGAAGTCTCACCAAGTTGCCTGGACTGGTCTCGAACCCCTGGGCTCAGGCAATCCTCTCACCTCAGCCTCTGAAAGTACTGGGATCACAGGCTGAGCCACCACGTCTGACCTATAGTTCTTATTGATATTGAAATAAATAAAATTTAAAACATTCATATGCCAATAATATTTAAACAGTTTTATAAGGTGTTAAATGAAAACTAAAAAAGCCTCCTACCTCTGCCCTCCTTGTTTCTCCACTCAGCGGTAACCACTCTTAACCCTTTGCTTTGTTATACAAACAAATATTTTGCATACCATCAAGTATATATTCATTATTTTTATTTTTTAATTTTTTTGAGTTGGGGTCTCAGCCCATAGCCCAGGCTGGAGTATAGTGGCATGATCACAACTCACTGCAGCATTGACTTCCTGGGCTCAGGTGATCCTTCTGCCTCAACCTCTCAAGTAGCTGGTACTATAGGTACTCACCACCATGCCCTGGCTAACTTTCTGATTTTTTTTTTTTTGAGTTGGAGTCTTACTCTGTTGCCAGGCTGGAGTGTAGTGGCACGCTCATGGCCACTGCAGCCTCAACTTTCTGGGGCTCAGGTGATCCTTCCACCTCAACTTTCCAAGTAGCTGAAACTACAGGTGTGTGACATCGTGCCTGGCTGAGTTTTTGATTTATTGTGAAATGAGGTCCCACCAAGTTGCCCAAGCTGGTTTTGAACCCCTAGGCTCAGGCAATCCTATTGCCTCCGTCTCCCAAAGTGCTGAGATTACAGGTGTGAGCCACCGCACCTGACACTTTTTGACTTTTTGTAGAGACGAAGTCTTACTATTTTGCTAAAGACGGTCTTGAACTCCTGGACTCAAGTGATCCTCCTGCCTCAGCCTCCCAAGGTGCTTAGATTACAGAGGCATCCGACCTCATAGTTTTGTTTTGAGTTGGAGTCTCACTCTGTCGCTCAAACTGGAGTGCGGTGGCATGATCACAGCCACCTCAACCTGCTGGGCTCATATGTTCTTATTATTCTGACTCCACCTTTCAAGTAACTGGAACTACTGGCACACCCCACCACCACCCAGCTAAATTTTGGGTTTATTGTAGAGATGAGATCTCACCAAGTTGCCCATGCTGGTTTTGAGCCCATGGGCTCAGGCAATCCTCTCACCTCGGCCTCCCAAAGTGCTAGGATTATAGGTGTGAGCCACTGTGCCCAGCCCTCATTTTTTTTTTTTTAAGAAAAATGTTTGTATGGCATAAGGCTGAATTTAATAGTTGATTGAACTGAATAGATTTCCTAAAAAAGGATGAATTTTTTTGTCATTGGGCTTGAATTTATAAAAAATTGGAAATTTTGCCATTTAGAGGATTTTGTCTTACACGTTTTTATATGACAAAGACTTCCCAATTGCCGGTAGCTTGTCCTTGATATCCTATGTGTAAACCTGGAGTTTTATGTTACATTTTAAAATCAAGGTATACTACTTCTGGTTTAGTTGTGTGATTTTTCCAACATAAGTACTGGAAATAATGGTATTGATTTGCTTAATTTTGATGGTTAATGAACACTAGCAGGGCTTTTACATAATTGGTTTTGGGGGAACAATATTAATTTTGATTTATAAACTATCCATACTATGGAGTATAGTTTATTATGTATTAAAATAAATTACTTAGCCTGTAGTGAAAAAGAATTTGGTAATGAGCTTTGTTATAATCCCATTGTGTCTTGAAGGTTATTGTTCAGTTCCAGCCATCCTCAGTGCCAGATGAATGGGGGACCACACAAGATGGACAGACAAGGCCCAGGGTTGTAAAACGTGGTATCGATGATAGCCTTGATGAAATTCCTGATGGTGTGTATAGTTTGTTTAGGACTGAGGTCTTTTCAGTTCTTTGTCTATTTTAGCATAATTCTTTAGAATGATGTAAAAAGAAACACAGCTGTTAGGATCACCTGCCATAGCATGCAGAAATAAGCCAGTTTGACACATGTCTTTTTTATTACTTTTATATCTTTATTTTTATTGATATATATTGATTGTATATATTTATGGGGTACTGTGATATTTTAATACATGCATACAAGGTGTAAGATTGTATCAGGGTAATTAGGATATCTTTAAAATATTTATCATTTCTCTTGGGAACATTTCAAATCTTCTAGATATTTTGAAATATACAGTAAAATATTGTTAACGATAGTCATCCTACTGTGCTGTTAGACACAAGAACTTATTCCTTCTATTCCTTCTGTGTACCTATATTTTTGCATCCATTAACCAGCGGCTCTTTGTCCCCACCTCCTCCCAGCCCTTTCCAGCCTCTGGTAATCATCATTCTGCTCTCTACCTCCATGAAATCAACTTTTTTAGATTCTACGTATGATGGCTTTATTTTTAAATTTGGAATTCTATTGAAGATACACAAACTTCATAATGTAGATTCTAAAATATGTTTTATTGTGGAGAAGCACTTTGCTGTTTGGAACTAAGCTTTTGGCAACGATTTTGGCAACACTTTGGGCTTGTGTTTTCGTGCCTCACTGTTACTTGTGTTACTCTAGTGAGGGAGGTTGGCAGACTTTTTCCATAAAGGGCCAAATAGCAAGTATTTTAGGGTTTTCAGGGCATATGGACTCTGTTGCAATTACTCAGCTTTGCCATTGTAGTGTGAAAGCAGCTGTAGACTGTATGTAAGCAAATGGGTATAGCTGTGGTCCACTTAAAATTTGTAAAGTCAGCCGGGTTCGGTGGCTCAGCCTGTAACCCCGCGCCTTTGGGAGGCTGAGGTGAGTGGATTGCCTGAGCCTGTGGGTTCGAGACCCGCCTGGGCAGCGAGACCTCATCTCTACAATAAATCAAAAAATCAGCCGGGCGTGGTAGTGCATGCCTGTAATTCCAGCTCCTTGGAAGGCTGAGGCGAAAGGATCGCCGGAGCCCAGCAGGTCGAGGCTGCGGTGGCCGGGAGTGGCCACTGCACTCCAGTCTGGGCGACAGAGTGAGACTCCAACTCAAAAAAAAAAAAAAATTTGTAAAGTCAAGTAGTGGGTAGGATTTGGCCTGTGGACCATAGTTTGCCAACCCCTGCTCTAGTGTATGTGCTTTGGTTTCTCCTGTTATAGCATTTAAAAATGGATTTTATTTTGACAATTACATTTACTTCATGTTTGTTTCTCTGTCTTATAAAATTATGAAATAGGGCCAGTAGAGTGATTCATGCCTGTAATCCCAGCAATTTGGGAGATTGAAGCAGGAGGATTGCTTGAGAGCAGGAGTTCGAAACCAGCCTGGAAAACATAGTGAGACCTCGTCTCTACAAAAAAATCTAAAAATTAGCCCGTGTGATGGCATATGCCTGTAGTCCCAGCTACTTAGGAGGCTGTGGGCAGAAGAATGCTTGAGCACAGGAGTTCAAGGCTACTGTGAGCCATGATTGTGCTACTGCATTCCAGCCTGGATGACAGAGTGAGACCCCAACTCAAAAATAAAATTATAAAATAGGTACTCATATTATGAAATCTGAAGTAATTAGAATAGAAAAAAATAGATTTAACTTGAAGATGTTCCTGTAGTATTTATAAATTTAACAGATCAAAGGAAAGGGTTTTGGGAAAATATTTTAAAGTTTTTTGTTAGCAAACTGCTTCTTCATGTAGGACTTAGTGCCCTGGGGAATTTTGAAGCAATCCCAAGGGTCCAGAGCCTCATAAATGCACAAATGTTGGTCACATGCTGATAGCCTCTGGGAACAGAGAGCCTGCTTCCTCCACTATTGTTCTAGTTTGCTGTTTGCCAAGATGGACAAAGTGTTCTTCTAATCTGGTAGAGGATAATGAAGATTATTTGCTTGGAAATTCTGAGTTTCTTTCATACATTTGTGATGACCAAAGGGATATCTAGAATATTGCTGTTTAAGGCTGGGTGGCTTACACCTGTAATCACAGCACTTGAGGATCCCTTGAGGCCAAGAGTTCGAAACCAGCCTGGGCAACATAGTGAGACCCCCATCTCTACCCCAAAAAAAGCGTGTGTGTGTGTGTGTGTGTGTGTGTGTGTGTGTGTGTGTGTTGCCATTTAATTAAGAAAACCCAAATCAATTCTCATCTTTTGTGTATGTATGTATTTTTGTTTAGGGGAAATGCCTCAGGTTGACCATTTGGTGTTCATGGTGCATGGCATTGGACCTGTATGTGACTTGCGCTTTAGAAGCATTAATGAATGTGGTAAGTATTTTCTCATATTTTATTTCATGGGATGATCTGAGAGCTTACAGAAGAGCTTTTAAGTATTCATTTTTAGGATGGGTTCCAGCTGTATACTACTTGCTGAGGTGTGTAAGGGGTAATTTAAATGATCAATGGGAAGCATTAATTTGTACTTGATTTGATCTTATGACATACATAACTCATAAATTCCTAGACTGAAGAATTAAAAGGCGTCTTAATAATTTAGCCTTTCTGTCAGACAACTTCTGCCTGAGCACTTCCAGCAACTAGGAGCACCTGTGCATTGAGCTGATTTGTAGTGAGTTGAGCTGTGACACATTGTTTAATGGAACCATGAATCTGCCTGATTGATGTAAATTTTTGAAGTTTTATTTTTATGTCTGTATAATAACAGTACATATTTACTGAATACTTGGTATGTGCCGAGTATCTTGCATGTGTCATTTAACCCTCCCAGATAGGCCTTTGGGGCATAGGTGCTATCACTGTTATCCTCACTATTAGGTGAGGACCTGAGGCTCAGGGCGAGTGACGCTCTCCCTTATCACAGTCAGTAGGTCTGGGAGCCCAGAGCCTATAGCAGATAGTTTGATTCCAGAGTTTTTACCCATGGTACCCTGCTGCTTCCCAGTAGTGGGAGTTAGATTAATGTTTCCCAGGCATTTATACATTTGTCTAAAATAATGGAAAGTTAAAAACAGCTTCCTAAAGGTTGATTAGTCTTTTTTTTTTTTTTACTGATTTTTTTTCTTTTAAAAAATGTATCTTTATGTTATAAAAAATGCTGACATATTTGAGACAATTGTAACTAACTGTCAAGCTAGGACAATTAATTTAATTTATCTTCCCTGATTTTTTTTTTTTTTGAAGTGGATGATTTTAGGGTGGTTTCTCTCAAATTGCTGCAGACACATTTTAAGAAATCTTTAGATGATGGGAAGATAAGCAGAGTGGAGTTCCTTCCAGTCCACTGGCATAGTTCCTTGGGTGGGGATGCCACAGGTGTTGACAGGTTTGTGGATTTCGATGACTTTTCAAATTAGTCAAATTTAAAGTCAAAATTTAAACCATAATATGAAATAGTGTATTGTGACTTCAACACATATGTTTTAAAAAATTATATACTTGCTCTGCATGTGATTAAATACTGACTGTAAAGTTTGCATGCTACTTTTCTGTGTTTGTGTGTATGTATGTGTGTTTATGTATTTCTATTGTAAATATTTATGAGGATCTAAGACATTTTAGCTGGTTTTAAGATGCTATTTTAATCTAGAGTGGTTTAGATGAGGGCTGTCTCATATACTGTAGGGTGGTTAGTAGGATGCTTAATGGCCTCTCCACCCACTACATAATAGTAGAATCCCCCTTCCCCATCATGCGATAACCAGAAATGACTCCAGAAATTGCCAGATGGCCTCTGGAGGGTAAAATCACCTCTGGCTAAGAACCATAGATTTGGAATATTGTTTCTCAGTAAGGATGCTCTTGGTAAGATAGTTCTTTGCTATGCAAGACTGTTGCATTGCAGACTGCTTAACATCCTTAGGCTAAAGGCCACCAAATACTAGTAATGCTCACCAGGCATGGCAGCAGCTAAAAATAACCCACTCAATTTTGAATACTCCCAACTGAGAGTCACAAATGCAGGTAGTATTTATGCTAGCACACAGGGCTAATAACATGTCTGGATTTTAGTGAACACTATAATGTTTCAGGGCACATGTTTAATAAAACAGACAGCATCTTGTGTTAAGCCCTGTTTGAGGGTGTTCTCTTTCTCTGTGGATATTCATGAACTTCATTTTGGTCATTCTCAAGTTAGGAAAGGTTTTCATTCCATGTAGCACCCTTTTTTCTCTGTGCAGCTTTTTCTGTTGTCCTTCTCATCCAACATTTTTGTCAGGTGTTCAGATTTCCACTTAATGGAAGAAAAATGGAAGAGTAAACATCCCTCTTTAAAAATAAAATTAAAATCTTTGCATCTGACTTATTACATATAGCAACTCTTCAGAGAATCTCACAATTCACAGTACAGTTATAGGCATAGATAACTTTTTTTCTTTATCTTGATTTATTTATAGTAACTGTCTATAGAATCAACTCATATTTTGTCTGTGGGGTTTTTTTACTCAGTCTATTTTCAGAAGTCAAAAATCTAAACTTTTAAAAATCGGTAGATTTAAGGTGGATACTTACTGAATAAGCTTTTTTCTTTTTAAACAGGAATATTAAGAAAATCACTTTACCAAGTATTGGTCGGTTTCGTCATTTTACCAATGAAACTTTGCTAGATATTTTATTTTATAATAGCCCCACCTACTGTCAGACAATTGTGGAAAAAGTAGGAATGGAGATAAACCGTCTACACGCACTCTTCATGGGTCGGAACCCAGACTTCAAGGGAGGGATCTCTGTTGCTGGTCACAGTTTAGGTAAAACTGTCAATTATACACATTTTAAATATAATTTTTGTTGAGTCGTCTGCTTTCAGTATGGGTGACATTGTTAATCCAAAATTAAGAATTATAGATCTTGTCGTGAGTGGTGGCTCATGCCTATAATCCCAATACTTTGAGAGACCAAGGTGAGAGGATTGCCTGAGCCCACGGGTTTGAGACCAGTCTGGGCAACTTGGCAAGACCTTATCTCTACAAGAAATCAAAAACTTAGCTGGGCATGGTGATGTGTGCCAGTGGTTCCAGCTACTTGGAAGACTGAGGCGGAAGGATCGCCTGAGCCCAGCAGGTCAAGGCCGTGGTGGCTGTGAGTGTGCCACTGCACTCCAGCCTGGTTAGCAGAGTGAGACTCCGACAAAAAATAAAAAAAGAATTACAGATTTAAGTTTTTAAAGAGTAGAAATGAATGCTTTGAGTTTAGATTATACCTTTATTATTTATCTCTAGTATTATTAATTAGGAATGCCATGTATTAATATTGATAATCAGGTCTTGATTAAAATCTAACTTCTGTGTGACTTTTGCCTATCAATTCTGAAAAAAAGAATATTGTTTAGTGTTATAAAAGCAAAGTGCTTCTTTTTCTTAGGTTCTTTGATATTGTTTGACATCCTGTCTAATCAAAAAGATTTGAATTTATCAAAATCTCCTGCACCTCTTGCTATTGCTAATGGAGTTGTGAAGCAGCCACATTTTCAGGAAAAGCAGGTATGTCTGCACATAGCCCAGTCAACTTTTAGATTTAGAGTTAGAGCTGAACAGTTTTCCCAAATCTGAACTGATTCTTGAAACTGTTTTTATGTATCAAAATACATTGAAACTTAGAAGTGTAATGGAATCATATACTTCAGTGTTTGAGTTTTTCACTCTTCTGGCTTATACATTTAAATGTGAAAATTTATGATTTTAAAAAATGTAAAGTAAATTATAGGAAGTAGGGGCATGAATGATTTATTATATTTACATACTTTTCAGAATATTCGTACTTTGGAAAAGTACTATACCAAAAATTATGATTTATCTATAGAATAAAAGTTTTAAAGATTTTCCATAGAGCAGGAGACATTTTATGGGTGTTTTTTCTGAGTTTTGTAATGTTTCTCCTACTTTTTTTAAAAGATGCCTGAAGAACCAAAGCTGAATTTGGATGAGTCATGTGACCTTGATGTTGAAAATGAAGAAGTCCTAACTTTGCGAGAAATTCTGGAAGCACTTAGCCTCTCTGAATATGTTAGCACTTTTGAAAAGGAAAAATTTGATATGGAATCTCTGGTATTGATGATAGTTTGATTCATTTTTGTTTAAAATTGTTATTCCTGTGTATAAGATTTAAAATTAAAATGATTTAAACACTTTTATATCAAAATACATATCAGAGAAAGCAAATACTGAATATTTAAAAAATTGAAAAACAGTAGAATATTTTTTATAATCTGGGAAGGCTTTTCTTTTCTTTTTTTTTTTTAGTCAGAGTCTCACTCTGTTGCCCAGGCTGGAGTGCAGTGGCATGCTCACAGCCACTGCAGCCTTGACCTGCTGGGCTCAGGCGATCCTTCCACCTCAGCCTTCCAAGTAGTTGGAACCACAGGCACACTTCACCTTGCCCGGCTAAGTTTTTGGTTTATTGCAGAGATGAGGTCTCGCCATATGCCCAGTTTGGTCTTGAACCCCTGGGCTCAGGCAGTCCTCTCGCCTCCACCTCCCAAAGTGCTTGGATCACAGGTGTGAGCCACCGCACCCAGCTATTATCTTTTAAAATATAAAAATTACATACCTTTTGCCCCCAGCAGTTTCACTGCCAGGAATATTTCCTTTATATCTACAGGGATACTCATTGCAGTGCTTTTTGTGAGACAGCAAAACCTTTGAAATACCTTCAGTAGCCGGGCTCAGTGGCTCAGCCTGTAATCTCGCACCTTTGGGAGGCTGAGGTGAGTGGATTGCCTAAGCCCGGGGGTTCGAGACCCGCCTGGGCAGCGAGACCTCATCTCTACAATAAGTCAAAAATTCAGCCGGGCGTTGTAGTGCATGCCTGTAATTCTGGCTACTTGGAAGGCTGAGACGGAAGGATTGCTGGAGCCCAGCAGGTCGAGGCTGCAGTGGCCGGGAGCAGCCATTGCACTCCAGTCTGGGCGACAGAGTGAGACTCCAACTCAAAAAAAACAGACAAACAAACAAAAAAAGAAATACCTTCAGTGTTGAGTAGGTTACTGGTGAAATCACTTACAGTGCATTCACATAATGGAGTACCCTGCAGCTATTGATCAGTGTCAGCGATACTGATCTCTAAGATATATTACATGAAAAGAGAAAAGTTTAGTGCTATGTCCATAGTAGACTATACACATACAGAGAAAAACATGTAGATGCTGTAAGATACCCTAGGGGAGCAAATTACCAATAGTTGCTGCTGAGAGGAGAATTGGATGTTGGGACAGTAATGGCAGGAGGACACTTCATTGTATGCTTTGGAATTTTGTACAACATGCATATATTTTCTGTTAAAAAATTAATATATTTAATTATTTAGGTGTGGAGGCCTAAGATTTTATAGCCTAAACTAATTCATAATTTAAAGACAAAAAAATGGCTCTTAGATTGTTTTAGATGATGTGGTTTCTTTTTTAATATTTTTATGTTCCAATTTCAGTTCCTCAGTCACTAGATTGATTAATTAATGTGTTTATTTGTTTCCTTTTAAAGCTTATGTGTACAGTTGATGACCTGAAGGAAATGGGGATACCACTTGGACCCAGAAAGAAGATAGCCAACTTTGTAAAACATAAAGCAGCTATGCTGGTAAAGTTCATCTCTGCCCTCTAAAAAACCTAAAACTCATGGTGTGATTGGCTCACTTATATTTTAGAAAATTTTAACACTACTATGGTTAGGTAGGCCAGTTGGCTTCCTGTCTGGGGCGCAACAATGAAGCTGATGAAAGCCCAGACTTAGAAGTCAGTCAGAGTTGGGTTCAAATCCAAATTAGGCTAACTGACGATCTTGGTTTTCCTGGGATGGAGTGAGTTCCCAGGACAAAGGACTGTTAGTTTTAAAACTGATATGTGAGAATTTCCTGATGCAAAAACTGGTTAGGTTTTGGGCAAAAGGTGAGTTGGTCACCCTCAATCACCGCTCATTAACTACATATTCATGAGCAATTTTCTTTTTCTTTTCTTTTTTTTATGAATTAGTTTATTTATTTTGAGATAGGGTCTCGCTGTGTTGCCCAGGCAGGTCTTAAACTCCTGGACTCAGTCAATCCTCTTGCCTCAGCTTCCTGAGCATGAACAATTTTCTTAGTTTTTCTTATCCTTGGTTTTCTTCATTTCTAAAGTGGGAATAATAATACTTTCCTCATAGGGTTGGAGTGAGCATGAAATAGTGCATGTAAAGCTTTGCCACCGAGTAATAGCTCACTTTCTCTCTTCCCAGTCCTTCTCATCATTTTAAGAGATGAGGAAGTTCACATATGCACTAAAATCTCATTAAGTAATCATCAAACAAAAATTTTTAACAATACAAAACAAAGCAATAACTGAAAAGCACTTACGAATAAAACAACTGGGAAGAATGTATTTAATTTAATTTTAATTTATTGATCAAATTAATTTACAGAGGTTTTCTGATTAGAAAAATTAGATACACTTAGGGTGGTTATTTTATTTTTATTGTTATTTACATGGTCTTTGAGTCTTTCATCTTTTGAATTTCTGTGGTTCTGTTACTTGTGCTACTTATTTGAAACTTAACATCTCACTTCTTTGTACGGAAAATGACTGTCAAGTCTTAGGACTGTTTTGTTTTTTTTTTAATGGCTAGCTTAAAGAATTATTTAACATTTTATTGAATATGCCTTTTAGGTCAGGAATGGCTTTCAATTCTTGCAATTTAGAGATGAACCAAGAGTATGGAGTCTAGTAGGGGAAGAGAGCTGACCTCAAATGATAGCACATCAGTTCCATAATAATATGTTGTCTGTGCTGTCCAGAGTCAGACTGGAGTGGCAGTTCTGGCCTGTTGAGAAGGGTCTGGGGTTGGTGAGAGAAGACTTCCTAAAGGTGTTGGTGCTCAGGCTTGAAGGAGGGGTAGGATCAGGGGAAATGACCTTCCAGGAGCTGGATGTCTTTTTCCTGAAGCTGAAATGTTAGGGGAGCTAGAAACAGGACAGGGCAGAGTGTTCCAAAGGCTCAAATGGCAGATATGGAAGTTTGGATTTTCTCTTGTAAGGGAGGGATTCTCAAGTATGTTCTTATGGCCATGAACGTCGTGATGCTTTTATACAAACATTACAAAATGCTGATCTGCTTATTCTGTCACAAGTTATGATTTAGCACCAAACTATCTAATGAGCCTAAATTTTAGTTTTTTGTGTTTTAAAGAGTGCTTGGTTATAGTGTACAGATAAAGGTGGAAGGAAATGAAGCTTGAGGCAGTTGGAAATCTCTTAGAGTGGCAATTGTAATTGTGCAGTGACTGAGATGATAGGGTCATAAACTAGGACATGGAATGGAAAGCAGCACCTCAAAAGATATTTTAGACATAGGACAAGCATTGTTTAGTTAAGTGTTTAGAAAGGTTATTAGCTTTGGCAGTTAAGCAATCATCAAACAGCAAAAATTTTTGCCTTTCATCTCATTTTTCTTGTATGCTAAGTCATTCTATAATTCCAGTTTACAAAGAGCTCTTCATCTCACTGGAGCCTCACAACAACCCTATGAGCAGATCCCCAGGTATCTATCTCTGCTGAGCACAGTGGTCAGACTAAGACTAGGACACAAGTGTGTTAGTGTTCTTGTATATCAAGCTAGGATGTTTCATGCATTGAAAACATTTGTTTCGGTGTACACATTAGTGAAGCAAAAACCTGTAAAAAAGACTAAAACAAGAAAAGAGCAGCTTTGTTTTAAAGTCCTACATCATGTCCTTAATTTTATTCTGTAGCAAAAGGAAAAAAGTAGAAAGGTGTTCTATGGTTCTTGAAATATCGAGAAGGAGCCTGGTTTATAGACTGCAGTTGATCGGCTGTACAAGTTAGGGCATTATAAGAATGTTTTGAAATGAATAAAAAATTTATAGAATGATCTTATTTTTTTATTTCAAAAGTAATTGTCTTTTGATGAAGTACAAAACTTTTTCAGTCGAGTTGCCATTGATTGCCCTACATTTCTCATAGATAACAAGGTGCTGCCAGATCAATAAAGAGATAATACAGTATGTCTTGTTGATTTATAAGTTCAGCTTCTAACAGAAATAATGGGACCAAAATTAGCCAATTATTTTATAATAAGGAGATCAAGTATTTGTAGATTGTGTGCTTTTATACACACACACACACACACACACACACACACACACACACACACCATCTTAGTGATTTTCATTTGAAAAGTAATAGTTTTTAGTTTTGGAAATATTGGTGGTCAAGTATGTATAAGTTGGCTCACTTAGTTTTAAAATTATTGCACATAATTTTAGAGGAACAAAACAACTCTTGGGAGTAGGACAGTTTATGATCTCTTTAGACAGTACTCTTAGCAATTTAGAGTGTCCTATGAATATAATGGGAGGTATTTCTGAGTAAGAAAGCAAATTTGAGCTGAGAAGCACTGAAAATGTTCTTTATTTGGGATTTTAGGTTTAATCTTGTGCTGCTGCCAAAGGGTAGAAACAACCAAGTCTTCTATAACACTAGAAGGAATCAGTTTCAAGCTGGCTGTGACCAAGAGTTTTCTTTTTTTTTTTTCTGTATTACCTTTTCAATTAACTAGTTGGACTTCTTTCCTGATTTCCTGGTATTTGAAATTAATAGATAAACTCAGTTTGGCTAGTGGTTTTGTTTAGGTCTGTTGGTAGCTGCTTAGAGACTAGCACTTAGTCATTCACAGACTAGGAAACATGTATGTGGGAAGTAGACAAGTTCTTCTCCTCCCCTCCCCCGCAGCAACTGTTTATTTCATTACAGAGATAAGACCTTTTATATAGATGCCCCCAAAGGTTTTGTTTATTTATTTCTGGAAAGGCATAGCTCTGTTCAGTATAATAAGTTTTCACAGGACCTGTGTAATCACTACCTGAAAACAAGAAGTTGAACATATCTGTCCTTCAGGTAGTTCATGCTTCTTTCTAGTTAATTCCTCTTACTACAAAACTATAATTTTTATTTCTTTTATTAATTTACTTTTTAACTATTATTGTTACTATTTGTAGAGATGGAGTCTCACTGTGTTGCTTAAGCTGGTCCACTCCTGGATGCAAGTGATCCTCCTGCCTCAGCTTTCCAAAGTGCTGGAATAACAAGTGTTGTCCAGCCTAAAATTCTGACTTCCTGTTTTTTTACCTAAAAAATTTTTTAAGGTTTTTGAGACAATATTACTCTGTTGCCCAGGTTGAAATACAGTGGTGCAATCTCAGCTCACTGCAGCCTCGAACTCCTGGGCTTAAGTGAGCTGCTCACCTTAGCCTCTGAGGTAGCTGGGACTATAGGCACATGGCATCACATCCGGCAAATTTTTTATTTTTATTTTTGTAGAGACAAGGTCTCACTGTATTGCCCAGGCTGGCATCAAACTCCTGGACTCAAGTGATCCTCTTGCCTTGGCCTCCTGAAGTGCTGGGATTACAGATGTGAGCCACCACAGCCAACCACAATTCTGATTTTTATCATTTATAGAATAGTTTGCCTATCGTAGCAATTTATACAAGTAGAATGAACAGTAAGTACATTCTCTTTTGTACCTGGCTTCTTTCACTCAAAATAATATATATATATATATATTTTGTAGTCAGAGTCTTACTCTGTTGCCCAGGCTAGAGTAAAGTGGCACACTTACAGTCACCGCAGCCTCGAGCTGCTGGGCTCAGGCGATCCTTCCGCCTCAGCCTTCCAAGTAGCTGGAACTACAGGTGCGTGCTACCTTTGCCCAGCGTATTTATTTATTTACTTTTATTTATTGTAGAGACAAAGTCTCACTAAGTTTCCCAGGCTGGTCTCAAACCCCTGAGCTCAGGCAGTCCTCTTGCCTCTGCCTCCCAAAGTACTGAGATTATAGGCTTGAGCCACTGTGCCCGGCCAAAATAATATTCTTGAGATTCATCTAATGATAGTCAATATTTATATTTAATTGTAGCTGTTTTGCCATATTTTTCTTTGCTTCTTAATCTTTTTTCTTAAGAACATTATAAGTTATAGACAATGTGGTATTTCTTTTCTAAATATTTAGTATATGCCTCTTAAAAAGAATATTTTTCTAATAATAACAGTGTTATTATACCTAAGAAATTACTAATCATTCCATGATATTGAGAGAGCATATTTCATAGTGGTAGGTGAGAACTGAACTCTCCTCAAAATTATGTTATGAAATTTTGGTGTTTTACAGAGCAAAGTAGCATCAGAAAAGAAGGCAGTAATGACCTCTTATACAAAAGGACAAGAGGAAAATGCTCAGAAAAGTAAAGAAATGACTTCTCTTCCTTCAGAATCTAATGAGTCAAAGAGGAAACTTGCAGTTGGTCCTTATGTTTCCTCTGTGCGTGTTGATTATGAATCTTTTGAAGTTGGCACAGGACAGGTAAGTTTATATATTGACTAGGGCTACTTATTTTATGTTGGAGTCATGTATCTTTATCATTTGGGTTGGCTTTAAATTTTTTAAGTATTCATTTAATATTTATTTGGGGTGTGGAGAAAACTGATTTTCTTTTTTTTTTGAATTGGAGTTTCACTCTGTCGCCCAGACTGAAGTGCAGTGGCCGCTCCGGGACGCTGCAGCGTCGACCCACTGGGCTCCGGCGATCCTTCTGCCTCAGCCTTCCAAGTAGCTGGAATTACAGGCATGCGCTGCCATGACCGGCTGATTTTTTGGTTTTTTTATTGTAGAAATGAGGTCTTGCCAAGTTGCCCAGGCGGGTCTCGAACCCGCGGGCTCAGGCAGTCCACTCACCTCAGCCTCCCAAAGCGCAGGATTACAGGCTGAGCCACCGAGCCCAGCTAAAACTGATTTTCGTATAGAAATTTTATGCTTCTTTAATAATGCTCAAAATAAGAGCTTGAACATGTACAGAATTTATCATCTAACTTTAGAAATTATATTATGCTGGGCTCAGCCTGTAATCCCAGCACTTTGGGAGGCCGAGGCAAGTCTGTTGCCTGAACCTGCAGGTTTGAGACCAACTAGGCGAGACCTTGTCCCTACAATAAATCAAAAATTAGCACGGGCCTGTAGTTCCAGCTACTTGAAAGGTTGAGGTGGAAGGATCTCCAGAGCCCAGCAGGTCGAGGCTGCAGTGGCTGTGAGCATGGCACTGCACTCTAGCCTGGGCGATGGAGTGAGACTCCAACTCAAAAAAAAAAGAAAAAGAAAAAAATTATATTTCAGTTTTTCCACTACTCATAATTTTATAGCATTATGGAAACAGTCTCTCATAGCCACTAACAAGTAGCTATTTTAAAAAAGTTATGTTCGGAATATACTTAAATTTCTGTGAGAGAAACTTGCTGTATTCACTCAGCTTATGTTTTCTAGTATTCACAGTTCTTCCCTTGGGAAAAATTCTTCTATAAATTGACCAAGTAGTTGATAATGCTGCATTTAATAGTATACTTATATCTAAGTTGCTTTTAGAAAATGTTGTTTTCAGGACTTCTTTTCTTTTGGAGACAGGGTCTTGTTCCGTCACTCAGGCTGGAGTGCAATGACATGATCATGGCTCACTGTAACCTTGGACTACTGGTTTCAAGCAATCCTTCTATCTCAACTTCCTGAGCAGCTGAGACTGTAGGCATGCGTCATCACACCTGACCAATTTTTAAAAATTAGTTGTAGATATGGAGTCTCACTCTGTTGCCCAGGCTAGTTTCAAACTCCTGGGCTCAAATGATCCTCCCAAAGTGCTGGGATTACAGGCATGAGCCACTGTATCTGACTGACTTTCAGGATATTTACAGTTGTATGTATAAGAATCTATTTCCATAAGTGAGTTCATGAAGGCACAAAATGGAACTGGATGTTTGATATATATATTATATATATATATTTTTTTTGAGTTGGAGTCTCACTCTGCCACCCAGACTGGAGTGCAGTGGCTGCTTCCGGCCACCACAGCCTCAACCCGCTGGGCTCTGGTGATCCTTCCGCCCCAGCCTTCCAAGTAGCTGGAATTACAGGCGTGCGCTACCATGCCTGGCTAATTTTTTGATTTATTGTAGAGATGAGGTCTCACCAAGTTGCCCAGGCGGGTCTTGAACCCGCAGGCTCAGGCAATCCACTTACCTCAGCCTCCCAAGGCACGGAATTACTGGCTGAGCCACTGAGCCCAGCTCGTTTGATATATATTAAAATGAAATTGTAGAGGAATATAGTCCCATGTAAGTAAATATTCTTTATAACTTCATTTTTAATGATTGCTGTGCTTCATTGTTTGGAAAAATAATGATTTATTATTTCCTTATTATTGAATGTATTAGTTTTCCAAGGTTGCCATAATAAACTACCACAGCCTGGGTGGCTTTGAACAATGAAATGTATTGCCTCACAGTTCTGGAGGCCAAAACTCTGAGATGAAGGTGGTAGCAGGGTCCTTCCTTGTTTCTTCCTAGCTTCTGGCGGTTTGCTGGCCATCTTTCATAGACCTTGGTTTATAGATGCATCACTCCAGTCTTCCGTTTTCATGTTGTATTCTCCCTGTCTCTTCACATCATCTTCCCTCTGTGAGTGCCTGTATTTGTGCCCAAATTTCCCCTTTCTATAATAATACAATCACATTGATTAGAGCCCACCCTAGAGATTTTATGTATCTTGATCAACTCTCTAACAACCCTGTTTCCAAATAAACTCACATTGTGAGGTATTGGAGGTTAGGAATTCAACATCTTTTTTATGAAGACATAATTTGACCCATAATGTTGAACATTTAGGCAGTTTCCTTTTTTATGCTCTTTAAGTAATCCAGTGATGAACATTTTAAAACCAATTTTCTGTGTACTTTCTTTATTATTTCTTTCAGTTAAGTTGGTAAAAGTAGGATAGTCAGGCCAAAGGATGTACAACATGAAAATTTAGATAGTTACTGCTACTTACCTTTGGAAAGGTACCAATTTGCACCCCCACTGGGAGTTTATAAGGTTGCATTCTTACCTGTCTCTTGCCTGTATTGTATTATCATTCTCCTTTAAAAATATGAAGTAGTCTCACTTTTGTAATTATTTTAAAGAATTAATTTCTTTGTATGAAAGTTGATTTTTACTTTGTTTATCTAAGTGTTTTCACATTTATCATTTGTGTTTTTGATAGGGAAAAATGGTATTGCATTATATTTTTTTGAGCCCTAGAGAGGTTAGATCTTTTCTCATATTGTTGTTAGACATTCTTTATGAAGTGCAGGTTTTACCTGTTTTTCTTTTGGATTTACTTTTTTCTTTACTGATATTTAAGAAATCTTTATACATTAAGGCTCTTAGCCCCTTGTCATATATGTTGTAAATTTTTCTTCCAGTTTGTAATTTTTCTTTTAACTTTATTTTTTCTTCTTCTTCTTTTTATCTAACTGGAACAAAATTACTGAATTTGCAAATAAAAGGGCAAGTCTAGGAATTTGAAGTCTAGATTTTGTTCGAAGGGGCAGCCTAGTGTAGGGAAAGATAACTGGATTTGGAATTAGAAGTTCTGGATCTAAGTCCTCATTCTGCCACTCACTGACTGTGTGTTCTTGGGTAAGTCTTGTCGTGTATCTGAGCTTTATCGTGGGCAAGGTGATTCTTGACTTTACCTCTCTCTTTCTGTGAACCTCTGTCCAGCATTTGGGTTATGCTATCCATTGTTCTTCACGCTCAAGATACTAAAATGGAAAGACACATTTCCTGTCACTGAGAAACAAATGAAAAAGTTTTATAAACTATAGAGTGCTATACAGATGTCATTGCTTTGTTGAGAGAGGCTACATAGAAGCAACCCAAAACAGGGGTATCATTTTTGTGATGGAAAGAAACTTGCCTTAACTGGAGAGGATGGTAGTTATAATAGAAGTAACACTTACTGAGTCCTTAAGGCACACCAAGCTCTGTGCTAAGCACTTTATGTGGATTAGGTTATTTATTTTTCAACCACACTCTGAATTTGGCATTGCTATGTTTCCCGTTTTATAGATGAGGAAATTGAGGTGGAAACAAGAGGTTAAGAAACTTGCCCAAGGTCACACAGTGAGTAAGGAATGGAACCATGATTTAGACCCAGGCAGTTTGATTCTAGAGTCTGCAGTTATAACCAATTTATAGCCATATTAAATATAAAAATTCTTATATGCTGTATATATGATGTTAGACAATAAATAAAAGTATAATGAGAGGATGTAATAATCTATAAAGATTTTAAAGATACATTTTTCAGTCCTTTTAAGCCAGCAACAGCTGTCTATGAGGGGCATCATCTGTGTTAGGATGCTTTTAAGTAAGTGCGGTTCTAAGAACTTTTGAAAATTCAGAATTTTATATTATGGGACATTGGAATGATCTTTATTGTTATTTAATTCTTTCTAGGTTTCTGTTGTTTACAACTCATTAGATTTTGAACCAGAGATTTTCTTTGCCTTGGGATCTCCAATTGGTATGTTTCTCACTATTCGAGGAGTTGATAGGATAGATGAGAATTACAGGCTTCCTACCTGTAAAGGATTCTTCAATATTTATCATCCGGTGAGTGAACTGAATTTGCTTTCTTTTTTGAAGAAGATGAGTCTGTCCTTTTTATCTTAATAGATTCTCTTTCTTATTTCTTGGGAATTACTACTGATCTTGATTTTGTAAGGCTCAGATCTCTATCCTAAGAAATACAGTTCACTACTTTCCAGTAAACTTTTCTATTCAAAGCCTTTGTTCAAGGAGGTAATTCTATTGCTTTGCTTGCAAAATAACTTTACCCACAAACTTGAAAATCTTTATAATTGCCAGTATTTGAATAAGGTGTGGAAAAAAAATCAGTCTCTGATTTGCCAGTTTGTTTTCTTACCCAACTGAGGCATATAACTCAAAACAGCTTTACATAAATTTCCTTTATTCACTTATTTATTCATAAATTCTTTTATTTATAGCTTGATCCAGTGGCATATAGATTAGAACCCATGATTGTTCCAGATTTGGACCTAAAAGCAGTTCTCATTCCACATCACAAAGGCAGAAAAAGACTTCACTTAGGTAAAAAACAAATACTATAAAAGCTTGTTTCCTTCCTGACATTTTGTAATCTATAACGAATTATGAAAATTTTAACACTAAATTACCTCTGACAGAATTAACGTTAAGTGCCTGCTGTGTTCAGAACTTTCTTTTACTAAGTATTTGGAGGAGCTGTACAGAAGTAATGAATGAATGAATACCTTCTCAGTGATGGCACTCTAATTGTTGAGCTAATCAGGAAAGGGAAAAGTTGGTAATAAGGTGATACAATGTGTAATTAAATTTTGATAGTGTTTGCTTATAATTTTTAGAAGTGGGAAGAAACGTAACATTTAAACTAATGACCAGACCATCAAGAAATAAATTTGATACTGTATAAGTCAAGTTATTTTCTTGCTGTCTAAACAGACTTTTCCTATTTAAAAAAATTAGGCAGCTGGGCATGTTGGTTCATGCCTGTAATCCCAGCACTTTGGGAGGTGAGAGGATTGCTTGGGTTCAGGGGTTTGAGACCAGCCTGGGCAACTTGATGAGACCTCATATCTACAATAAATCAAAAAATTATCGTGGCATGGTGGTGCGCATCTGTGGTTCCAGCTACTTGGGAAACTGAGGTGGAAGGATCACCTGAGCCTAGCAATTTGAGGCTGCAGTGACTGTGAGTGTGCCACTGCACTCCATCCTGGACTATAGAGTGAAACTCCTACTCAAAAAATAAAAAAAGAATTAGGCTTGGTGCAGTGGCTCATGTCTGTAATCCCAGCACTTTGGGAGGTGAGAGGTGTGCCTGAGCCCAGGAGTTTGAGACTAGCTTGGGCAACATGGTGAGACCTCGTTTCTACAATAAATCAAAAAATTAGCGAGGCATGGTGGTGCACATCTGTGGTTCCAGCTACTCGGGAAACTGAGATGGAAGGATCACCTGAGCCCAGCAGGTCAAGGCTACAGTGGCACTTGTGCCACTGCTCTCCAGCCTGGGCAGCAGTTTGAGACTCTGACTCAAAAAAAAAAATTAAACTAATTAAACATACCAGATTGACAACTTAATTTTATTTGGAGATAAGAAACTTAGAGGTTTTGTTTGGATCAAGTTTAGTTGTTTAAAAAAAATGACACTTTACATGTAGAAGGTTTTTGTCTGAGGCACTTCATATATTTGATATTTTTTAAGAGGGGAAGAAGTGGTCTTATCCTGTCCTGAGAAGAATGTCAACTTTTAATTTTTGTGATGCAGAATTTTACCTAGTATTAATTAATTTGGTTATGTCATCTTAATCTTTTTAGAGTTGAAAGAAAGTCTCTCTCGTATGGGATCTGATTTGAAGCAGGGTTTTATTAGCTCTCTGAAAAGTGCTTGGCAGACATTAAATGAGTTTGCCCGTGCTCATACCTCTTCAACTCAGTTACAAGAAGAATTGGAAAAGGTAGCCAATCAAATCAAAGAAGAAGAAGAAAAGCAAGTAGTTGAAGGTAAATCTGACATTTGAGCCTTTTTCCAATACAGATGTATTTGTGAACATAATACTTATAAATTAGAGTGATGTTTTCTTTTCTAGTCTTTTTTGTTAAATTGTAGAAGTTCTTTCTATAAAGGAAAATCTGCTGTGATAAACTGTACAATTGGATTACTTTAAAACCCATGTCTTTTTTTTTTTACTAGGTTTTTTACCAGATAGTTACTGAACTTTTTCCTCTGCAATTAAAAAATTTTATTGAGATTCTTAAGGCCAGAGTGGAACATTAGAGAATTAAATTTGTATTTAAGCGTTTTAAAGACTCACTCTGAGAAGTTATCTTCCTGGTACTGTTGTTTGTGTCATTACAGACTTCTCATGCAATGTCAGGTCATTGTGCCATGATGTTTTTTACTTTTTCAGATTCTAATTCTATTTCCTTTCTTTCTACAATGGTCTCTCACCCCTTATCTTCACAACTTCTGTCAGCTCGTTGGCTTTTTCTCCTCTCTCTCGGGTAGCCAAACCCTCTTCCCCTGGCTCTATGGAGGAATGGGGAGTGAGCCCAGTAGCTTCCCAGGTTGCTATGTGTGTCAAGCAATATTCTCATTGAGCCCAGAAAGTCAGCTAAAGTCAAAGGATAATGATTAAGTGATTGACTTTGATATTGAAATGATTTAAATTCTAGCAGAAAAGATTGTTGAAAGTCCAGATTTTTCCAAGGATGAGGACTACTTAGGAAAGGTTGGAATGTTAAATGGAGGCCGCCGAATTGACTACGTTCTTCAAGAAAAACCGATAGAGAGTTTTAATGAGTATCTTTTCGCTCTTCAGAGTCACTTATGCTATTGGTAAGTATTCTTAATTTGATGACATTCAGGTGGGCTTTAGGTGCTGGCACATGCAGCAATTTTAGTTTTAGTGAGTTTTTTTCTACTGATAAATCATGCATCATGGAGTATTCGTTTGAACTCCTATCTATTCAAATTATTATTTTTCCCCTTTAGTTATCCACAAGGTGGCAGTATGTCACCTGCCTTTGACCAAAGACCCTTGGTACTTGCACACTGCTTTTTGTAGGAATGCCTTCTGCAATGGGAATGGCAGGGACTTTGAAAAGCCATTCTTTTCCATATCCCTGTCACCTGGAGAATTGCAGCATGACTATTTTGGAGCTGATTGGTATCCATTCGGTTTTTAAGGACTGCTTTGAGATGACACTGAGATTACACTGCCACCATTTCCCCTTTGTAGACGGAACTGAATAGAACAAAAGCTGCATTTTCCACCTCTGTTCATAGAGATTAATAGCTACTAATTGTTTCTTAAGTAAATGTGCTTATTTTTTGGTAGGGAATCTGAAGATACTGCCCTGTTACTACTTAAAGAAATTTACCGAACAATGAACATTAATCCAGAACAGCCCCAGCACTGATCAGACTTCAGTTTTACTGTGTGAGTTTATCCTTATTGTATGTATACATTCTGAATATTTGCATTCTGAAGTCTGTTGTATGGAATTGATGTTGACTGATTTTCTCTTTGCTCTTTTTTTTGGTGGTGGTTGGTCAGAATACAGACATTAAGGAAGGGAATTGGTTTGTATTTCTCGCTTCTAGTCTTCTTTCTAAATTTGCATAGAATTTGAATTCTTTTATTTTTAATTTCTTATGCAAATGGGTTACCCATAATAACAAGAATTTTTTTGGTCACAGAACTCAATTCATAACACCTTAAACAAATAGAAGTTTAATTTTCTTCTGTAACAGGAAGGGCTCCTCTGTAGAGTGATGCTACCACATCCCAGGCTTCTTACGTCTTTCTACATGAATGTCAGCTTTTGCTGTCTCAGAGTTATAAGATGCTTCCATAGTTCCAGCCATCATATCTGCACTCATGGCATGAATAAAGTGGGAAGGGTGGTATCATCATAGCTATCCCTTTTAATTAGGAAAGCAGAAGCTTGTCCAGAAATTCACTAATACTTATTGACGAGGCCTGTGTCCGGTGTTCTGTGTCTCATGTCAGTCTGAAAGATTGTAAAAGTGAAGTTTTAAGTGTTTTCAGTCTTTTCAGAAAAAGATTAGAAAAGAGATTTATTCTTTAATGGGTGAGCCATCCTGCAAGTCTGCTATACTCTGTATTCCTAACTGTCCTCCTAAGATACTAGATACCTACTTTTCTTCACTAGATTGTGTATCACTTTAAAAAGTAGGTAATGTGTGTGTGTGTTTTTTTTAAGTTAGAAATTCTAAAGCCTTTGAAAGAGTGAAATATGAAATGCTGAGCTCTAAATTACTGAAGTAAAAGTAGTTCATAGCACTTTTTGGTTTTGTAGTAGTAAATAATATGTAAAAAATTTCTTCAGCTTCCACGTTTCCACTTTAGAGAGGTAACCACTATTTTTAGGGTTTTCTTAGATAAATTTTCTTTGCATATCCAAGCAAATCTGCATGCATTTTAAAACAAAGGGATCTCATTCAATATATTTTTTTGCAACTTGATGTTTCTAGTCAGTCAGACAGCTTTCACAGCTTTCCATATTAGTGTGTGCAGGTCTTTTTCATTCTCTTTAATGATTGTGTAAAATCCATTGTATGACTGTTTCCCATCTTATTTAGCTAGTTTCCTGTTAATGAACATTTATATTGTTTTCAGTGTTTTTTATGCTGTATATTAGGAAGTCTTAGTCAGCAGAGCAGATGAAAGGTCTAAAAAAGCATTTCATAGCTGGACGTGGTAGCTCACATCTGTAATCCTAGCACTCTCGCAGAGGCGAGAGTGTTACCTGAGACTAGGAGTTCAAGACAAGCCTGGGCAACTTGGCAAGACCTCATCTCTACAATAAATAAAAAAACTAGCCGGGCGTGGTGGTGCATGCCTGTAGTTCCAGCTACTTGGAAGGCTGAGGCAGAAGGATTGTCTGGGCCCAGCGGGTGGAGTCTGTGGTGGCTGCAAGCATGCTACTGCTCTCCAGCCTGGGCGACAGAGTGAGACTCCTACTCAAAAACAAAAACAAAACCCAAAACAACCACTTTATAGTCATACTCTATCATTTGATCAGTTCTCACCATTTCTGATATTATATTCATGTTATAAAATAACATGAATATAATGTGAAAAGTTATCACAATCCAGATTTTCAATGATAAAACAGTCATTCAATTGGTCACCAAATGTTTATTTATCTACAGTGTGCCAGGTACCAGTTTTCATGCTGGTTAACTGGTAAACAAGATTGCATTGTTACCTTCAAGGAATTTACCTTCTTCTGGGAGGAGATCAACAGTAAACCTGTAGTCTAATACATAAGTAAATTTCAAATTTTTGTAGGTTCTGTGGAGAAGAGAAAATAGGAAGATATGACAGAGAATGACTGGGAGTTACTTCTAGGAAAGACTTTGCTGAGTTGATGACATCCGAATTGAAATTTGAATGGTGAAAAGGAAGTAGACATAAAAGGGTATGGGAAAAGAACAATACTTCAAGAAGTAAAAGCAGCTGCAAAGGTGTTGAGATGGGAACAGACATGTCATGTTTGAGGGACAGAAAATTGGCCAGGATAGCTGAAAAGGAATAAATGAAGGGGAGAATGGAGCGAGATCAGTCAGAGATAGGTGGGTCTGAGTGTGAGGCCCTAAGTGTGGTGAAGACATTCGAGGCTTTTAAGAAGAGGAGTGACAGCATTTGGCTTCTATCTTAGAAAGGTGCTTGGGGTCCAGGCTGATAGAGGGGCAAGAATGGAGACCAGGAAAGCAGTTAAGAAGCTGGTGGTAACTTTAACTAGGGCTGTAGTGGTAGGGATGTGAGAAGTGGCTGAATGCAGATCTATTTTGGAGATAGAGTTGTGAGAGAAAGAAGAGTGAAGTATGACTCAGGATTTTGATGTGGGCAACTGGGTGAATGGGAAGGATTGTGGAGGCATCAGTTTTTATGGGGGGTCTGATGGAGGGGGAATTGGTTGTCTTGTTTTATTAAGTCAGTAGTTGATGATGTTGATCTAATGCTTAGAGATAACCTTAGAATCATCAGCATATCTTGCCATTTGAAGCCCCAGTCTGGAGATCACTTAGAAGGAGTGTGCAGGTGGAGAAGAAAAGAGGTGTTTGGAGGAGGAGCCAATGAAATGAAAGAAAATCCAGGGACTTGTGATCTCAGGGAAGCTGAGGGAAGATTGCTTAAAGGACAGTGTTTAGCCATGTCAGATGCTGCTGAAAAGTAAACTAAAAGGAGCACCAAGAATTGGCCACTGGATTCAGGAAGATGGAAGACATCATTTGTGACCCTGACCAAAGCTGCTTTCATGTTATGGCAAGGGCCAGAGTGGTTGAAAAGTGGCAGGGTATCAGAGGAAAGGTCTTTCTCTAAAGAGCAACAGAAATAAGGCAGAGGGAGGCCTTTTGTGGTTTTAAGTTGTTTTTGTTTGCCAGTGAGAATGGTCCACTGTGGAGGGAGAACTTGATAATACAAGGGTGAAAAGGGATAATTGGAGGAAACTTGTGAGAAGTTACCCTGGGACAAGGGCCAGGGAAAGGTGGAGGAGAGCTTTGCCTTAAGGGAGGAGCAGGGACGTGTCCTTCATTGTTCTAGAGGATGGGTGGTAGAGTCGGTGATGGAAAGGGGAAGGGTTCTCTCTAAAGAGTGCAGGCCTTACTTTTTTCAGTTGTGTTCTGATAATTGGGTGAGTTCAGGGTAAGCAGATATTTGGGTTTACGAGGGTTTTGCCAGGTAAGTGAGACAGGAAAAGAAAGACAAGAGAGTTAAGGAAAGCGATTGATAGTGAAAAAAGCAAGAGGCAGCAGTACGATGAGGTTGGATAGTTACAGGAGTGGGAGAACCCTAATCAGTGATGCCAAGATAAGGATGGGAGGCTTTACTCGGAGAATGGAGTGTTTGAGTGGGGATTGCTGAAGCTGTGCAGGCCATTGCTGTGTGATAGGATGCTGTGGCTGCTCTTACATTGTGAAACAAATGTTCTGTGTCCTTAAAAGCAATTTAAAAAAACAGTTATAAGTAAGAGGGCCTCATATAGAAACCCCCCAAAATTCAGAAAAGAACAAGAGGCAGCAGTGATTACCTATATAGGTGATTGCCTGTATCATCACCGTATAGATGACTGTCTATATCATCACCATATAGGTGACTGCCTGTAATCATGCCAATCAAAAATGTTAGAAGCTCTAAGCTTTTTTCTAAGCCTGTATGTTTTATATTGTTTGCTACTGTGTAGTCTTTTTTTCCCCATTTGATAATATATTGTATAATTTTCCTACATCAGCGTATGACGTGTGAGGGGGTGTGTATTTACAATTTTTGCTTGTTTTTTGAATGGGTTATACATACACTTGGTTCAGCTTTTAAAAATGGCAGAAGTAAGCTGGGCTCGGTGGCTCAGCCTGTAATCCCGCGCTTTTGGGAGGCTGAGGTGAATGGATTGCCTGAGCCCGCGGGTTCGAAACCCGCCTGGGCAACTTGGCGAGACCTCATCTCTACAATAAAGCAAAAATCAGCCAGGCGTGGTAGCACGCGCCTTTAATTCCGGCTACTCGGAAGGCTGAGGCCGAAGGATCGCTGGAGCCCGACAGGTCGAGGTTGCGGTGGCCGGGGGTGGCTACTGCACTCCAGTCTGGGCGACAGTGAGACTCCAACTCAAAAAAAAAAAAAAAAAAAGGCAGAAGTGAAGGATCGCCCTCCTGTACCTCTTCCCCAGTTTCCCTGCCCAGAGGCAACCAGTGTCAAGTTTTGTGTATCCTTCAGACATTTGTTAACAAATACACATATACGTGCAATTTATTTTCTTTTTAAAAGACAAATGATAGCCATATTAACACACTGTTTTTACTTTTGTATCTTTAAGATTGTTCATATCCATCCATCCATCCAGCATTTGTTGAGTACCTTACTTAAGTACCAGGTACTATTTTAGGCAGTGGACCAAACAGAGTCTCTGCCTTCAAGGATCTTACTTCTTCTGAGGGAAGACAGACAGCACATTAACAATTGAAGTGTGCCAGATGGTAAACACAGAGCAACGAGATAGGGAGGTGAGGAGTGTACTTGGGATGGGAGCAAGCTGCTATTGTATATAAGATGACAGGGGACACCCCGCTAGTGTCATTTGAGCAGGTGAGCCAGGTGGATATCTAAGGGGAAGATTATTTCAGGTTGAGAGAAGACTATAAGAATATGAGAGCAGCCTCATTCTTTTTAATGTGTTTTATTGACTACTGCACTGTAATAGGTTTTAACAATCCCTTACTGATGGTTGGTCATTTAGGTTATTCTAATCTTATTAGCATAAACAGTACTTCAGTGATACATGATATTTTAATAGTTGCATGTATTCTGTTTTATAGCTGGTATTTATTAAGATAATTTATTCTCTTGTTGTATATTAGGTGATTTTTCAAATTTTCACCATTGTAAATAAATTTGATATATAGTTTTTTATACGTTTCGCCCATCTCTGACTGTTTGGAATAAAGTCTTAGAAGCAGCATTTTAGATGTAAGAATATCGCACATTTTGAAAGGCCTTTTGATCCCTACCTTTTGCTAAATTGCATTCCAGAAAGGTTGCTCAATTTTCATATCTACCATCTAGTATTCTTGCACCCTTGCCAACACTGGTATTAACATTTAAAAACATTTTACCAGTTAGGTAGCTAGAAATTGTTATGTCATCATTTTTATTTACATTTCTGTTGCTAGTGAAATTAAGCACTTTGGGTGTTGTTTTAACTGGCTGATTATATTTCTTCTTTTGTCACTTGCCTATTTTTGACTTTTGTGCATTTTTCTGGAGGTGTGGGTTAGGGTACATTTATTTCTACTGATTTATAATTATGCTATTTAAGGATATTAGTTTTTTGTCATTGTAGATAATTTTTCCCAGTTTGATATTAGCCTTTTATTTTTGTTTATGCTTTGAATTTTTTTTTTAGAGGGGGATTGGGGGGACCATGTTTTAAGAAGTATGTAGGCAAGGCTCTTTTTTTTTTTTTTTTTTTTTTTTTTGGGAATGCTCACAGCCACCACAACCTCAACCTGCTGGGCTCAGGTGATCCTTCTGCCTCAGCCTTCCATGTAACTGGAACCATGGCATGTGCCACCACACCCAGCTAATTTTCTGATTTATTGTAGAGACAAGGTCCCCCCAAGTTGCTCAGGCTGGTCTCAAATCCCTGAACTCAGACAATGCTCTTGCTTCCGCCTCCCAAAGTGCTGGGATTACAGGCGTGAGCCACAGTGCCCGACCAAAAGTATGTAGGCAAGTCTTTTAAGATGAATTATTTTTTAGATATTTACATTTATTTTCTTTAGGTCTTACATGTTTTTTATTTGGCTTTATAGTTTAGAGGAATTTGATATATAGAGAGTTAACTTTTTTCTTACATAGTTAATCATTTCTGCTGTGCCACATATCGAATAATGTACCCTTTTGTCATCGGTTTGATATTTTTATCATATACCAAATATTTTACTATTGCTTGATATTTTTGTCATATGCCCCCTATTTGTTTTCTAGTGTTTCTCTTCTGTTGATTTATTAATCTATCATATTTCATTGATTTCACGTCATATTTTCTACATTTTGGTATCTTAAAATTTGGGATGCGACTTAAAATCAACTGTTGCCTGAATAGAATTTGAGTTTTTTTGAAGCGGACATGCAGTTTCTTTTACCAGTCACTGGGATTGCGGGCTGCTACCAACCTGGGTCTGCTAATTTTTCTGCTTGAGAGTTTCTTGGACTATGCTGGTAGTGTGAATTCAGACTTCAGAATTTGAGTGTGGGGCATACCAGTTCAAATATCAAGGAATTTTTTTCCCCCCTCTTCCTGTTGTCAAGGAAGAGGTGAGTAGGCTTCTTTGTGTCTCTTCTGCATGGAGGATTGTTTTCTTTTACTCCTCATTGAGGCTGTAGCCATTAGTGTCTGCACTTTTTGTGACGGTCTCTGTCTCCTTTGAGACTCCCTTTCCAGACATTTTTTTTCATGGTACGTAAAACAATGATGTATCTGTTTTTTTTGTTTTTTTTTTTTAGTTGGAGTCTCACTCGGTCGCCCAGACTGGAGTGCAGTGGCCGCTCCCGGCCACCGCAGCCTCACCTACTGGGGTCCGGCGATCCTTCCGCCTCAGCCTTCCGAGTAGCCGGAATTACAGGCACGCGCTACCACGCCCGGCTGATTTTTTGATTTATTGTAGAGATGAGGTCTCGCTGCCCAGGCGGGTCTCAAACCCGCGGGCTCAGGCAATCCACTCACCTCAATGATGTATCTTAAAATTTATGGTGTATTAGATTTAGAGAAATATGGTGTTTCAATAATTGTAACTTTGTTGTTTTTTTAAAAAAAAATAATTGTAGCTTTGTACTTTTAATATCTGCCAGTACAAGTTCTTAGTCATAGTCTTGGCTATTACCCCAAATGAAGTTTGAAATGATTTAAGTTCCCCTGACACTCTTCTTCCCTCACAAAACAAAACAAACAAAACCAAAACAATAGTAATTCTAGGATTTCCTATCATCTAATATGAAAAACTCCATAAGAACCTTTTATTTCTCATATGATTTGTTTACTGTAATTGTCTTATTTCTTCTTTTACTTGACTAAAATTTAGGCAAGAATTTAAGTTCCTAATATTATACTAATACCATAAAATAATTCATTTAAAATAGTAGCAATCCTATATGTGGTCCAGTGAAGCATAGATCAGTTTGTTGAATAGTTTTATGTATATATCCTTTTAGTTCGTTTAATTATTGTTCTTTAAAAAGCTTCAAGTTAACCTGACAGATAAGTAACTTTTAGTAGCATCTTTTACTTTCTTTCTTTTTTTTTTTTTTTTTGAATTGGAGTCTCACTCTGTCGCCCAGACTGGAGTGTAGTGGCCGCTCCCAGCCACCGCAGCCTCGACCCGCTGGGCTCCGGTGATCCTTCCGCCTCAGCCTTCCAAGTAGCTGGAACTAGGAGCGTGCTACCACGCCCGGCTAATTTTTTTATTTATTATAGAGATGAGGTATCGCCAAGTTGCCCAGGCGGTTCTCAAACCCGCAGGTTCAATCAGTTCACTCACCTCAGCCTCCCAAAGGCGCGAGATTACAGGCTGAGCCACCGAGCATCTTTTACTTTCTAAACTCTCTTTATTATGAAGATTATCATGCTAGTTAATCTTACTGAGTGTTTCCTGTGCGCACTTTGTTCCTTTCCAAGGCCTATCTGGGGACATCTTTGGAGGCAGCTTCCAGTGTTTGTTTACTAACATTGAGCACTTGACTGTATGTTTACTTCAGAAGGGACAATAATGCATTATTATATTGTGACTATGAATTTGTAAAGTTCACTGAGGATTCTTTTTTCTTTTTAAGACTTTCTTGTAGCCCCTGTATAACTTACGTTGCCGAGAAAATCCTTAGAGGATTCCAGTTTGCTCCTGTGATGGGTGACAGAAAAGCGATTCATCGACAACTGCGCAGCTACAATTCTCGGATTTAGGGATTCAATAAAAAGCAACACACAGAACAAAAAGACAGTGAAAAAAATTTACCACATTTGGACAGTATAGTTGAGAAAATATAATTATAAAAATGAGGTAATGAAAAATTCCTCAGATCAGTTTAGTCATAGTAGTCAAAGTTATGTGTGATACAGTGAAGAAATATAGCATGTAAATGGTTATTTCTATTTCTTAAAAAACTATTGTTAGTGGGCTATTAAACTGCATTTTTCTTTTTATTAATGCATTATATTCTTTTTATTCAAGTATGAACTTCTTGAGAAACTAGTCTGATTTCTAAGAAATTTATGTTCTACTTTGAATATGAATTGTACTTCTCAGCTGCCTTAATGCAGGGTCATTTGTATTTGTTAAGAGGAAGTAACCAAGATGCAAGCTGAATCTGTGGGTCCATAAAGCCTTTCCTCTTGCTGAGAACCTTGTTGTGGAAGGCAGCGAAATGCACCTTATTTTACAGAAGTCTGATGAAGAGCTCTCCCAGTGTGTCCAGCGGGAGAGGAGAGCAAATGAGAGGTTTTCTATTTTGTCATCCAAGGTAGCCGTGCAGTTGCCTTGTTGCTGAAGTTCCAGTTAATGTGAAAACCAAAGTAGAGTTTTTTCTTTTTCTTCTTTTTTTTTCTTTGTATTAATTTCACTTATACCAAAGTGATTGAAAATATGAAATGTATTGCTTCTGAGCTGTAAGGATACTTCATGAAATGACTACTCTGTAGTATTTCACTTTGTTTTACTATAAATTCAAATTATCTAAATATTTTCCTAATAGTACATGGGAATGCTGATTTTCTTCTTTTGTTATGTAGTAGAAACATTTTACATTGTTTACATAGTTCTCATGGAACATGGAATTTTTTGAAAGTGATATACGATACACATTTTTTGTGTATATATTCTCACTAGTGTGAATAAAGCAGTAACATTAATGCATTTTTTAAAGCAGCAAACTTCTGTATTTCTCTTGTCTTTCTTAAAAGTATTCCTACGAGTATACTGTGTATTCCCTTTTCATTATGAGTACCTGCTATCTAGTTAATACATAACCTCAGCATTTGCTCCTAATACTAGAATTAGAAAGGCAAAATTTTAGAGCTGTAATTGACCCCCCCAGACAAGATGTGTTTCAACCACAGCATCTATAGCTGAGGACAGGACACTAAATTCCATCCCAGACTGGGATGGAATATGGTTTCCATGATTCCTTTTCAACCTTCATTTCTCTATACCAGGACTGCTACTTTTTACTTTTCACTTAAATGACCGATACTGATGAAATAAAATTGAAAGTTATTTATATATATTTTAATAAAATCCAGTTTGATTTTTCAACTTACAACTGGTTTTGTTTGTGTCATTCAGCCTGTGTCTTCTGAGTAATGGGCAGTGGAGAAGGACCAATGTTTATAGAAGAAACGTGGTAGCTGAATGTCAGGAATCTTGCCCTTTCATTTTAATACTTGAAGAAACAGAAAATAGAATTTTTTGGTGACTCTGCCTGTAGACACATATCTGTATTACTGTTCATTCTCTTAAAAAAGTATATACCCTCTAAACGTAGGTCCTTGAGGGCAGAGTCTGTATTTAGTAACATGTTGTTCACTGTTGTAACCAGCATGCCTTATAGAGTCTTTCCACGTAGTAAGGCACTTTCTGATATTTGTTGAATAAGTGTTTTTTTTTTCTTTTGAGTTGGGGCTCACTCTGTTGCCCAGGCTGGAGTACAGTGGCACTCTCATGGCCACCGCAGCCTCAACCTGCTGCTAGAAATACAGTCTTCTGCCTCAGCCTTCTGAGTAGCTGGAACTACAGGTGCATGCCACCACACCTGGCTAATTTTTTGATTTACAGAGACGAAGTCTTGCCAAGTTTCCCAGACTGTCTTGAATCCCTAAGTTCAGGCTATCCTCTCGCCTCTGCCTCCCAAAGTGCTGGGTTTACATACATGAGTCACTGCACCCAACTCCCCCTGTAATTTAATAAGCTGGCATTCCAGCTCAATATAAATCAGTTTCTCAGGGTTAGGTCCTCTAAAGGCAGTGGATAGAAATCAGGTCCTCTTTGAACTGAGATACTGGCATTGTGTTTCTGCTGTTGACTGTCTTCTGCAGTGTATAGGATGGGTTGTCAGCTGATTTGTCTCCTTGATATTTCTGTGATACTTTCAACATTATCAGTCTTGTCCTGGCATTTCATCTCTAAATTGAGCTTACGAAAAACTTAATAGCATAGTAAAGAGATCTAGTTTCCATCTGCCTTTATTTGTGTCTGAGCTGTACCTCTTAGCTATGTATCCTTGTGTGAGATTGTATTTTTTACCCTAATCTCTCAGCAGAGTGTTTCTGTTTTGTTTTTATTCAGTTTCCTCTATCATGAAATTTCTCAACCCTATAGAGGGGTTGTGAGAATAAAAAATATGAAAAAAATGCACATATGGTGCTCAGCACACATAAGGAATTCAAAATGTTAGCTAATTACTCTGTTCTTTTACCATGAGCGCTCAGGTCCAAGGAAGACCCATGCCTTCATTTCCTGTTCTCCCTGGATAGTATTCTGGCCTGGGTTCTTGTGCTTGAGCACTGTCAGAGAGAAGAGCTTGGAGTCTAACCATAGAGACCTCTGAGAGGTCTGCAGAGGGGTGGGATGGCCAAACCTGGAGGAGGTACGGGCATTGGAGAGGAAGGTGAGGAGCTGTGGAACAATCTGGCTTGGTGGAGGTGTGGGCCAGTAATGCTTGTTTGCTTGTCTTCATGCAAGTCAGGGGGGTCTTATATAGCACCTTGGGATAACTTCTCCCTGCCCTGATTCTGTACTTTAAACTCATTTGGGGATAAGGATCCAGAAAACAATTTTTCCTTCTTAAATCCTGCTCTCTTTTCTCCCTGATGTTTTTTTCTTGCTTGAAACATCAACTGTATTGCAGACTTTCCCAAATGTATTGGCCCCATAGAACACTTTGAAAATAACTTTATGTGGTTGTTAACATGAGTGGGAGCTTGTGAAACAAGGCTGGTTCTTCATAGTACTTCTTTCAGCTTTAGATCAAATGAAATGAGTTTGGATAGTATACGTGTCTAATATTATAGTTAATATTAAGCTGTCACAATATATGTTCAATATTTGAAGTTGTATGATGACATGTGCAACCAACCAGAGGTTATCAGGGACACATCCGTGAGGTAGTAGTCAAATGCTGCATATCAGTTAGTGGGCATGCTGCATGCAGTTCATGTTCATGGACGGGTGGATTTGATATACTTAGGTTGACTCACTGTGTCTTTCTTTCATTTCTTTTATTAAAGAGTGATTTTTAAGGTCTAAGCATAGTGGCTTATGCCTGTAATCCCAGTGTTTTGGGAGGCGAAGACAGGAGGATTGTTGAGTGCCAGGAGTTCGGACCGGTCTGGGCAACATAGTGAGACTCCATCTCTGCCAAAAAAGTAAATAAACAAAAAATTAGCAGGCATGGTGGTGCACACCTGTAGTCCTAGCTATTCAGGAGCCTTATTTAAGTGGGAAGATGACTTGAGCCCAGGAGTTTGAGGCTGCAATGAACCATAATTGTGCCACTACACTCTAGCCTGGGTGACAGAATGAGACCCTGTCTCAAAAAAAAATAAAAAGGCCATAAAAAATACTTTATTATGGAATTTTCATATATATGCCAGAGTATGGAGAACGGTATAATGAATCCCCAGGTGCCCTTCTTCGAACTTCAGTGGTAGTGTCAAAGACCCAAAAGGTAAGAAGGGTTGGCCAGGTAAAAAGGGAGGAAAGACAGTGCATTCTGGACCTGTGAAAAGGCAAGAGGTGGGAAAGAGCATCACACATGTGGGTGACTGAGGAAATTAAGTTGCTAGGCATGAAATGCAAAGAGCTATATGAGTGTGTTGCGTATGATTTTCATTAAAATTTTTTTTTTTTCTTTTTGAGTTGGAGTCTCACTCTGTTGCCCAGACTGGAGTGCAGTGGCCGCTGCCGGCCACCGCAGCCTCGACCTGCTGGTCTCCGGCGATCCTTCTGCCTCAGCCTTCTGAGTAGCCGGAACTACAGGCGCGTGTTACCACGCCCAGATAATTTTGATTTTTTTAAAAAAAACATTTCTAGTGATGCTTTTTATTTTTGTAGCCTTTAGTAGCATTAACTTTTGTTGAGAGGAGCAGGGTTTGGAGTATTGCAAAGTGCCTGCTACCAGCTAAGACATGCCCCTCCTGCGCCCCTCAAAACCTGTGCCCAGCAGTTTCTCTGAGGCCCCTTTGTTTCATTTTCAGCATGATTTATTAGTCAGGAGTCGTAAACTGTTTTGAAGAGCACTTCTGATTCCCGGAGCAACTTCCGGTGAACGAGGCTGTTGTAGTTCTCTGACTGCTACCTCATGGAAATCAGCTGGGGAGGAGAACTTGGGCTTTTTGGGTATTGACTGCGTTTTGGGCACTGTTCAAGCTCTAGCTCTTGTGTGGAGTCATTACAAAAGCCTCCCTGAGGTAGTTGTCATTCTCCCCATTTTATAGATGAGAGAACCAAAGCTCATAGGTGCTAATCATCTTGCCCAAGAGCCATACAATTAGTGGCAGGGCAGAATAAAGTGTGCTTGTCCCTCAAAAATAAAGGGACACCTCTACTCTTGAAAGATGTCTCTTCATGTACTTGCTAATTGCCTGCCTCTTTTTGCAAACACTTAGGCAGTCAAAGCCCATTAATTATTTTTTGCACAAGCAAAAACCCAAAAGATACCTTTGAAAAAAAAGGAGGTTTTAGTATATGTGGATTATATATTGGCTTTGTTGTTTTTGCCTGAAGTCCTTTTTTTATTTTTATCTTTGAGTTGGAGTCTCACTCCTCTGTCGCCCAGACTGGAGTCCAGTGGCACGCTCATAGCCACCCCAGAGTCAACCTACTGGGCTTTGGCTATCCTTCCACCTCAGCCTTCCAGGTAGCCGGAACTACAGGTGCACACTACCATGCCCGGCTAATTAAAAAAAAAAATTTATCGTAGAGACAAGGTGTCGCCAAGTTGCCTGGGCCGGTCTCGAACCTGTGGACTCAGGCAATCCACTTGCCTCGGCATCCCAAAGTGCTGGGATCACAGGCTGAGCCACTGAGCTGGCCCTTTTCTTTTTTTTTTTTGGTAATGTGGGGGTAAAGACCTTGTTCCCTAATATGTTTTAAACAGTATCTAGGCTGGGCACAGTAGCTCACATCTGTAATCCCAGTTTTGGAAGTCTGAGGGGAAAGGATTGTTTGAGCCAGGAGTTTGAGACCAGCTTTGGCAACATAGATATACCCTATCTCTACAAAAAAATAAGAAAAAAAAAAAGATTAGCTGGGCTTGATAAGCACACACCTGTAGACCTAGCTACTTAGGAGGCCAAGGCAGGAGGATCACTTGAGCCCAGGAGTTTGAGGCTACAGTGAGCTATGACGCACCATTGCACTCTAGCTTGGGTGACAGAGTGAGACCTCTTCTCTAAAACAACAACAATAATAATGGTAAAATAAGCAGGATCCAGATGTTTGTAAAGGGTAGTTACCCTTTGAAATGAAAAGGGAGGAATACATGCAAGATGCTCTATTTGTCCTCAAAACGGAGCATAGAAAGTGTACAGTCTGTGTATCTACCTTGAGTTTCATAGTGGTTGCTGCCAGGCTTTGTTTTCTCCTGAGTTGGTCCTTCTCCACTCTCACTTCATCACTCTGGTTTTTCCTCAGCTCAGGTGGCTGTGATGCCCTCGTGAGATCCATGGCTGCCATCCATCTTGAAGCCTCCATCCATCTGGCTCATCCTTCTCCAAGTCTTCCCAGCTTCCTGTGCTATAGGAGGAGGAGATCTGATTTCCTTTGGTTGGAATTTCCTGTCCTCCCTAGTCTTTTTTTCCAGTCTCTCTTCTGGGTTTGGCTTCTGCTTCCTCTGAAGGAATCAAACTGGGTTATTCATTCCAGTCTTTACCCT